TAAAAAAACCAAAAACGTTGTCTTAATCAGATATCATTTCAAATCTTCTATTTAAAGAACTTATTGTTTGATCAATTATTTTTAAAAAGAAATTTGTTTTAAACGCTGATCGAACAGTTTTGGTTTGTACTTTCGTCTAACAGTATTTAATGGAGGAATACCTTGCTTTATCTCAAGAGCGGCTGCTAGTTCTCCAGCTTGATCAAGTTTTTCCTCGAAAATATTATCATTTCTATAATTTTTAAAATGATCAACTAGATTCTTTAAATAGTTTTGGCACACTTTAATATCAGTCGTTACACTTTGCTTACAATGCCAATCTGGAATAAAACATCATACTAAATTATTACACTGCAAATAAATTTAAAAGATTGGATACTTATGCATAGAACTTGCTTTATGCCTAGCTTCTATGTTAAAAGTATCATTTTCTGCTATTTCTAGAAGGCTATCACAAATTTGAATTAAGTGAAACTTTAGCGGCCTTATAGCATCAATCCTACTTGACTATAGTATCACTTAGGGGTTTTAGATTTCACTTCGGGACATGCTTTTTTATAATATCCCACCTTTTTTGTGGATTAAGAAAAAAATACATACATTTCTTGTACAATATTGAAAAAGTTAACTGTTTCATTTGAAACTTTAGCAGCATCATTTACTGCTAAATTTAAGCTATGTGCAGCACATGGCACAAAAAATGCCCTGTGATTAGCATCGAGTATGCGTTTTTGGAAACCAGTAAGTTTTCCGCGCATATTCGCCCCATTATCATACCCTTGACCTCTCATGTCTTTATTGTCTAAATTCAAATGTTTCAAAAGTCCAACGACAAAATCAAATAGCCCTGTCGAGTCGGATATTGGGTTGAACGCTATGAAACTCTCTTGTATTTGAGGCTTTTTAGAAATGTAATTTAGAACGACATAACGCAAAACGAGGCTTATTTGCTCTGTATGACTTGTATCCGGTGTACAGTCTAAAATTATTGAATATTTGGAACTGCGAACCACATTCAAAATATTATTTTTTACTTTAGAACACATTAATTCAATAATTTCGTTTTGTATCTGATTCTTTCTAAAACGTCATGCCAATATTTTTTTTCAGTTTCTAAAACCCCTAAGTGATGATCGTTTACGGTTGTGGATAATTTTAATATTTTTTTAAATTCATCCATGTATTCATGTGAACATTATGTACAATTGATGTTTCATGTCTTTTTATGGCTTTTATGTTGCCAATCAGAAAAACCATGAGTATCAGAAAAACTATTGAAAGTCTTACTGAAAATTTTACAACAAAAACAAAATATCACGTTAAACGGAAAAAAAAATAGTTGCGATTCTCCTGACATGCTCAGGTAATAAATATGTATTTGCTGTAAAGAAATCTATTACTAACAATGAATAATAATAAGAAATTAACATAAAATTAAAATGTTATAGTTATTAAATTTAATATAAACAAAAAATATAGAGTACCCAGTATAGTAAAAAGTTAGTAAAATAAAAACTAAACATTTTTTCAAATTGACGAAGTGTAAAGCGAATAAACTATTTGAATTTAGAATTTTTTTATGTGTCCCAATAACCGGCCAGGACAAAAAAAAATATATTTAAAAACTAAAATTCCTCCAGTAATAATTTCAACTATACATTACTTTAGAAAATAACTTAGTATATCTATGAAACAAGATTTAAAGGAAAAATTATCAAGATGGTTTTGAAAATTTAAAAATAATTGATTTAAAAACACTGGTACAAAACGCTTAATAATGTCAATAAATGCAGTTTTTTTTTTGTTTCAAATCAAATCATCCTTATAAATCAAATTTTGCATGTATTTTGAAAATGGCCCTTATGATAAAAAAGCACGCACCATCCAACTTATGGTCAGGCGAAACGGTACCACAATTTGAGCCTGTCAGACGAATCGGGAAATTTTAATTGGTCAGGCGAATCTGGCATAAATCAAGTCAAATACATAGATATTATGTGGGTAGGTACTTACCATTTCATAAAATTTAATTACAACACAACACAAAATATAAAGCACTCCGTCGAATATTTATAACTATAACTTTGCGTCTTGGTTTTTCACCTTCACGTAGCCGAAGAAAATATTAACTATTTGGATTACGACGCCTAATTTGAAACTTACTCTTCGCTCGTACAGTATTCGAGTCTGGACAGGAAAAATCGACAAGTTTATACTTTATACGGGTATTCATGGTATTGCATGTTGCACACAGAATTAACTAACCTATTGATTTTATTATATTTAATAATTAACGCTAATTGAATAGCTATTTGATTTCAAAAATAGATGGTTTCTGTCATAATAGGAATAGGTTAATATATCAACGAACATAAACTTCGATAACATTATTGATTATATTATCATGAATTGAGATAAAAACATTTTTGATTTCTTTAGTGTCTTACTCATTGGAATCGTTAGAAAAATTAAAAATTCGAATTGTATATAGACCTCCGGTTTGGCGCCCCTTTAAAGGTGCACCCGCGTGCGGTGCACGCGCAGTTACATCTTACATGACTAATTATTGAAGATCTTATACTGTTATACTGTGGCTTTTGTACCAACGCTATCTAGTGAACAATGAATTAATCGTATGAACAATCCTTGACAATCTATAAGCAGCCATGGGTACCACCTCATTTTTTGCCCTGGCCTTCGACTAGAGCCTGCGGCGTTTTCACCCTGCATATAAGAGTTGCGCCCCCCTGGAAATGTTTTAAACGGTGCCCATTTTAGCAGCGTCTGCATTTAACTGATTGCAACCCCCTGTCGTAAGTGTGCGTCGGAAGACGTTCATATTAGAGTTACACATTACTTGCATAACTCATACAAAAAAAAAAGAAACTTGCGAAAATGACCCGAAAATTTATGTCGTTACCTCCCGGAATATTACAGTCCATCTTCTTTAAATCCGCATAAAATATCTTCTTTCTCCTTTCCAATGATTGGGACAAAACAAATGATACGTTACGTATGAAATGCTTCATTTGTCGTTTCTTTTATCTAAGCAAACATCCCTCTACGAATTATTAAGACCATCCTTTAACCATCTCAAAGGTGAAAACAAATACTTTGAGATTCAAAATATTTAGATTTTGTTGAAAAGGTTCGTATTCCCCGCCCTACTTTGTGCCTTGTTTATGGGCGATGTACAAAATAGTTTAGTTTTAAGCAGTCACATTGTCTGTTTCATGGATCTGTTGACCTCTCTTTTTAACTACAGGTATTTTCGGAAATCTCTTGTGCTCAATCAGCATATAGTGCACCGACAGAGAGTCACGACTTTATATTTTTATGTTATTTATGTGATTTCAAAATAATGTGTTTTAATAAACCAATGGAGAAACGACCCCTGATCAGATCTAATTTTTGAGATATGCTATACTGGCGTTTCTAGAATAAAATCATCTTAATTTTTAACTAATGTACATTTCAGGTTATATAGTCTGTTACATTCTCTCTACAACCGTAATTTGTTTTATCATTTTTCTCAATTAATAATAATTCTTGAATCGCTCTGTAAATATCACCAAATGTAGAAAGTGATTTTTTTTTTCGTTTTTCTCAGTGATTATACACAAATTTCATTTTTTGAATATTCGTATACTATGCATATTTTCAAACAAATCGAAATCGCAAAATTCTTCTGAAGAACACGGATTGCGACATCAAAGCAGATTTAATTTTTGGATTCTACGAGGTATTCTCTATTAAAGTGTACATCTTCAACGAAATCCCAAATTCAAATTTAAATTCTTCAATTTTCTGAAAAATTTAGGTACATACGGTGAGCACCATAAGTCTTACCCCCCCCCCCCCTATCTAACTCGTTACTGGAGTCTTGTTAGGAAAATCGCCGAGACACGTCGATTTTTGATTTTTACAATGTACATTTTTGTATGAATAGTTTACCCTTAATTTCATCCCTTACTGGAGGGGAGCAACCCTTTCGAAAAATTTAAATGGCATGGGGTGGTGAGTGATAGCTCATTTGAAAGAGGGTTTTATTCTCTATTCAACCATGTAAAAAATTTTGAAATTTGCTTCATTAATTCTCGACTAATTGTTGTTTCAGAATAACGGAAATTAACATAGCGCACTCATCGTTAGAATTAAAATTCGGCCCTGCATGATTTCGGTTTTGGTTCAGACGTGAAGTAAGACTTTTTGCCATTAGAAGGTCACTATTAGTTTAGTTGCTTTCCTATTTTGTGAGGTTTTGTTATTTTTAAACATTCATAAATCAACACGTAATGAAGCAAATTTAATTTTTTTTTGCACGGTTGAATAGAGAATAAAACCCCCTTTCAAATGAGCTATCACTCACCACCCCATGCCATTTAAATTTTTCGAAAGGGTTGTTCCCCTCCAGTAAGGGATGAAATTAAGGGTAAACTAATCATACAAAAATGTACATTGTAGAAAACAAAAATCGACCTGACTCGGCGGTTTTCCTAACAAGACTCCAGTAACGAGTTAGTTAGGGGGGGTAAGACTTATGATGCTCACTGTATAAAATAAAAAAATATAATCGTCTCAACACCCTTTATTTCAAACGTGATTCATTTCTATGATTGTTTTTTTGTAAAATTAAAATAATAAAGACTTATTAAAAAAGGTTATTTTTCGCGGCATAAACCAACATAAACGTTTATGATAGATTATGTTATTTACACATGTCTGATTAGACTAAATAAGATAATCTATACCTTTTTAATTATCTACAATCGGACAACCTCAAATAAAAATATAAAATTTTCAAAGGCAAATTGTAAAAAAAATAACATTGCCTTAGTCCAATTTGGCATTTTTCTTGTAATCTGAACAAATTATTCCATCATATAGAAGTTCTTTGAATTTACAAATATCTAGTTTTTAAAATATAAATATAATATCCACCCCAGCATAAATAATATGTCAGTGGGACTATAAATAAAATACAACAAATTATAGACTTATAAAAAATAAGTTTTATTTAACTTAGACAGATCTGACTTAGAAATGGAAGAATATTTGGTTTCGTTTAGGTAAATATATATAAAAACAATAACAAAAATATCACACCAAAGAATAACCCAGTCCGCTAGAAGAACTGCTTTCTGCTTCTGCGATTGCTTTCAGCAATTCCTTTCTTGCTTTGGTTCCGATGAATGCCATCAAAGATGCTCCAAGCAACAGCTAAAATCAAATAATAGTTAAATTTTCTTATAATACAGGCATTATAACATTATAATATAAAATGGTATTTAGACAACTTTGATTCCATTCGTCTTTTTTTTTTAACTCACAATACTTTTCTAGGCTCATTCAAATTTCTAAAATTCAAAAAGACGCCTAGCATATCACCCAATCAGATTGTAAGACATTCAACCGAACGATTCTCTAATTGGATATTACAGTCAACATCGACTAAATAAATCACTATAACCTGTGCTGTGAAAACAAAACGAGAGTAATGATGCCAAGAAAAAACTATATCTGTAGTAAGATCGATAAATTTGGCAAAAATTCAGTTGCTTAATAATAATAGAATGGGGATATCGATGTTGTCACTATGTAGCTCTGAATATGGCCATGCCAAACAGGAAAAATAACTATTGTATGGCATTTAAAAACTTGAAAATTGATAAAGATTTAAAATTAAGACAGTTAAAAAGTAATACTCATTTAAAGATAAAACATTAATAAAAAACGCTTTCTGCTTACTTTTTAATTATAACAATCCATTGTTTATTCCAATCTCAATAATTATTGATAAAAAAAAAAACAGTAACAGTAACCTACCACAAAAAGTGTCTTGTCTTTATTACCTTATCAATATTTTTTATAAATTTTAAGTCTGAAAGAAATTATTCTTAAAATACTAAAAAAAAAATGATTTTAAATTTATTTATTAAACTAAAACGAAGTTTTTGTAGTATTTAATAACAATCTTTAAACAGTAATTATATTTACCTGAACAGTTGCAAAAATATATGTATTGGAAGATATATTTCTGTTTTCTAATACATCCTGCATCGATCGCAAGGTAGATCCAACATATACAGCCACAAACTGTGCTGGGAACAATCCAAGGAAAGATGCTATATGATAAACTCTGGCACTTACATTACTTAACTAAAATTTAAATATTAAATAAATGAAATATCTTAATGGCTACTAATTACAATAAATTATCTATTGTTAAACAAAAAACAATAATTATTTTATTGATAATGATAAAAAAAGCATATATGTACTACGTGACTGTAATTAATGTTTTTTGACATTGGAATTATATGAAAATGGGGTCAATCTATATGAAATGGACTGGAAAGTAATGGATTTGTTTATTCTATCGATATAGGTATTGAACAAAATTATACATATGAGCAAAAAAATATAAAAATATTATTATTATTATTGACAATATAAGTGCCAGTGATAAACAAAGATAATATATTGAATATTTTGTTGTAATCACTGTGATACAACAAACAGGTTTTATAAAAATGGTAAGTGAAGTGTTGAACACTTTATATGGCATGTAAAAATATAAATAATCATATTTTCATTTTAAAACTAAACTAAGGTGACCATATCTCTTTTGATCCAATGCTGGACATGCTAAACATTCATGAAATACAACGCACACTGATGAACTTTGTAGAGGCAAGTACTTTTTTAGCTCCTCAAAGATAAAAATACAACACAAAGAGAACCGGAGGATCTTTTTTTAGCTCTGCATTACACTTTTGTTACATTTCAGTAAATTATGTATTATTGCTGGATTGCTAGACCCTACACAATAAAAAACAGTGAAATGCTGTACATATGGTCACCCTAAACTAAGCTAAAATTACAGATTAAATATTAATAGGCATTTAATAGAATTCCTTACTGCAAAAATAGTATTTTGAAGTCCAAAAGGTATAGGAGTCAGTCTTGAACAGAAGACAATTTTAAAGCAAAGTGGTCCCGAGATTACTCTTAAAATTGCTTTAGCCATGTCATTTTGAGTATATCTAAAATGAGAATTATAGGTACTCTTAGCAATCCATAATAAAATATCTATATATTACTTACTTGAAAATGCTGTGATGATGTCCTAAAATTTTTAATATGTTGTGAGCAACCAATAACCCGAAATTTGCTCCAAATACAACCAATAAAAGTCCCCTAGAAACACCAAATAAATACCCTGTTGCAAGAACTAAAACTATATACCCAATGCTTATTGGTAAAGCAACTATTATGAACAAAAAACATATCGTTGTAGAAACAATTAGAGCATCTTGCCTCTCCAACCAAATTAATATAAATCTTATATATGCTTTACAAAGTAGTAAAATGCATATAATTACAACAATAGTACAGAAAAGAGCTAATAATCGACAAAGAGACAAGAAACATATAGTTGATCGTAGATCTTTGTTGGTTTCTTTTCTATTTTCCAATGGATTTTCGATATTTATCTTCATTATTCTTCCAAATTCTTATGTAGGCATGACTGTCTATATCAGTTTAATTTATGTCACATATAAAATATAATTAGCACACCTTTAACTTTCTCTAAATACATGTCTCCAATTTGTGAAAATTCAATTTATTTTCCTCCCACTTGACGTATACGTCAATTTCTTCTTCTTCCTCTAAATTAAATTTAATGGCCTCATTTACGGTTCCTATCAGCCAATCCTCACAGTATTTTTGTTAATTTTTTACATATTTGTGTTGTTCTAAAAGTAAAATTTTAATCTGTAATGTATTATTCTACTTCCATTTCTATAGAAAAAGTTAAAAAATAAACGACGAACCATATTTCTTCTTTTTTAATGTAGTTCTAATTTAAAAAATAAAATAGAAGAAAAGGAAGAATATAATTCGATGTAATGGCATGGCAGCCATTTTAAACTGTAAATTCATTGAATATTATCCTATTGCTAACAATTGTTATAATTTATATTTATGATGAATTTCCTTTGATGGTTAAGGAATTGCTGAGGAATTTAATTATTACTACTTTATCTCGAAATATAGTATCCCGTTGTTATATTTAATATTTTTTAATTGAAATATATAATGGTAAGTAAAGTAGGCGTATTGTAGACATTGAAATAATTTCTTCATTAAGGTTATTTTTATGTTTTTACGAACTAATTAAAATACCGGATATATATTTTCAGAGTTTTTTTGGATTCGGCCAGTCTGCTGAAATAGAAGTAATACTAGATGGCCAAGATAGTAGAAAAACTGCCGAAGTTAAAACAGAAGATGGCAAAAAGGAAAGATTATTTTTGTACTACGATGGTGAGACAATATCAGGGAAGGTACGTGTTTATATAAGGAAAAGATTGAATCACTATCATTATGTTTTGGAAAGCAATATAAAATGAATATTACTCATCTAGGCATTTAAAAACTATCTCATGTTATGTATGTCCGAAGTCCTATGTTTTATTATATATTTCTGATTGTATGTACATCTATGTATTAATACTAGATTTGTCTAGTTGTTTACTTGATCACTAATAATTATCTATTATTGAACTGAATTGGAACAATCTGATTCAATTGTCTACAGTCATATCTTCCTGTGTGTTTCTACAGGGTAAACCAAATTGTAATAGTTATATTTTTTCCATTTTGACTGAATAGTATTTGTTTTTAGGAACAAATTTCAATAAAAATTGTAGGAAATTGGTCTATAAAAAATTCACATACAATTGGTAATAAGAAACAATTTAAAAAAGATTTACAACTTGAAACAAAAACTACATAAAAATAAAACAAAAATACTATTGATGGATCTTTAACACGTTAAGTACTTTGTGTATACATATTCATATTATACACATCTGACCAGTCCAGTGCATTGTGTATATAGATATTGTCTGTGTTTGGAGCCCTGTGTATATGGCACCTCAGACCCTATCACAAAATCTAAGTCAATGCTCAACGTGTTAATATGGATTTAAATAATACTTGATTCACTAAATATCTACTGTTCATTATATTAAATAATAGGACCTTTAAAAAAGTTTTTAATTGAGTTTTTATTATAAAATTATTTCCTGACCTGAACACATGGAAATTTTCTTTCTAGTAGGAGTTGATAATAATAATACTATTTTCATCTTGTCTTTTACAATAAAAAATAATGTACTAGTAATTGCTGCAGTGTTTTTTTTTTGTGCAGGTAAACGTTAGTCTGAAGAAACCTGGTACTAAGCTAGAACACCAAGGAATAAAAATTGAATTTATTGGTCAAATTGAAATGTTTTATGATAGGGGAAATCATCATGAATTCATATCTTTAGTAAAAGAACTCGCCAGACCTGGAGACATGATTGCACACTCCAGTTATCCTTTCGAATTTAGTAATGTAGAGAAGCCATTTGAAGTATATACAGGTAAGATTTTTTACGTAGATTTCAAACAATAGCAAAATTGTCAATAAAAATTCCATAAAGTATTAGACACCAAACATTACCTGCAATTTTAGGTACCAATGTGAGATTACGATATTTTCTGAGAGTGACAATCATAAGGAGATTAGCTGATGTGATGAAAGAAATTGACATTGCAGTACATACTCTATCCAGCTATCCAGAAATGAATAATTCCATAAAAATGGAAGTAGGCATCGAAGACTGTCTTCACATTGAGTTTGAATACAATAAATCAAAGTAAGGTTTATTATTTAATGAAAATCTTGCGTGTTATTTATAGGGAACAGTCCTGGTCCATGTTGTCCAATTTCTATGATTCTTTTTTTGTATCTCAGGGGTGGTCCTATATAAATTTGATCAAGATCTGTTAATGGCGTCCATACAAAAATCCTCAAACTCTTCATTTTTTATGTATGTTCAACGACAATTCTTTAGTACGTTGTCTGATTTTTAAGATTTACTTTTGTTTGAAAGTGGGTACCCCAGGGGTAGTCTCATATACAGAGTCAGGCAAATATGCAAAAGTGTATATGCACTTGTATGTGCAAGGATGAAATGTAAAATATAACAATATAATTGATTTAAATTTACTCTGAACTATATAATATGGTAATGGCAAAAAATATGAAAAAGAGGAACATAAAATAACAACAAATTAAAATAATTTCTTAAAAAAGTTGAGCAATGTATTCTCTTTTCTCAAAAATAAAAATTTTACATTGCTCAACAAACCTTTTATACCCAATTGTTGTTCGAATCTTCAGTGGTAGTATGTTGAAAATTGTTGGTGCCATGATTGCAGTAGATCTCTGTTTGGCATCATATCTTCTAAATGGTACCAAGATCATGTTAATAAGATTATGTATTGTTTGGTAGTGATGATTGATATAATTTTTGTTTTTAGATTTAAAGACATATACAGTTGCTAAGGTAGTAAAGACATTGAATATTTAGAATATCATGATTACATAATAGGTTAGTTGTAAAAAGTTTGTCTTTAAAAAATATTACATGTAAAATATAGTTTTGGACAACATTCAATTGATTTAATACATTGTCATAGAGCCCTCCCCAGGCAATGATACCATATCTTAGGAGCGATTCTACTAATGATTTATAATTTGTATAAGTAGTTTTTTAGATACACAATAAAATTTTGGTATTAAGCGCCTAATTTTGTTTGTCAGATCTTCAATGTGATCATTCCATTTCAGATTTTATCAACTCTAATACCTAAGTACTTTATTGTATTAGTTTCTTTAATGGTAATATCAAATTCGTTCATTTTAATACAGTTAAAACTAGGTCTATTTGCATCGTTCATAGAGAAGGCTATGTAAAATGTTTTGTCAGCGTTCAAGGTTAATTTACTAAAATCAAGCCAGGCATTTAACTGTTTCAAAACTGGCAATTGCTTTATCTTTAACAATTTCTCAGGTTTTTTCTTTAAAAAGTAGCACTGTGTCATCTGCATAAGAAATGGAATCTCTATTTAAATTTAGTAATAAATTAATTTAGGTAATGAACAGAAGAGGACCAAGTACAGTACCTTGTGGTATTCCAATTTTAACATCTAAAGAATCACTATACACATTTTTAATTTTTACTTTCTGTTTACACTCTTTTAAGTAACTTAAGAAAATTTTCAACACCATATTGTTCAAGAACCTCAATGAGTTGCCTATGAGGTACCGTGTCGAAAGCTTTTGAAAGATCAAGGAAAATTGCAATTGCCATCTCATTATAGATTAATCCATTTTTCGTACATGGCATCATTAGTACTAGTTCCAGGTATAAATCCAAATTGATTTTTATTTAATATGTTAACAGATAATTGAATAATCTATTTTTTAAACATTTTTCAAACATTTTAACAAAATTGGAGATAACACTTATGGGTCGGTAATTTGTAATATTGGCTTTGTTACCTTTTTTGAAAATTGGAGTGATTGTTGATATTTTAAAATGTGAAGGTACTATACCGGTTACAAAAGTTCTGTTTATTATATGGACTAGGGGATCTAAAAGTTTGTGATATTTTTTTATTAGCCTATTTTTTAAGCTGTTAATATGCAAAATTATTTCTTCATTGGAAACAGGTTTTAAAGCCATGGAGTGTACAAAATTGGGGTAGGTCACATTATTCTGGTAGTTAGGTTGTTTAATTTTTGCATACATGTCTGTTCCTACATCTACAAAAATCTATTACAGAAATTAGCCATTTCGGTATTGTCTCTAAAGGGTTCCTTATTACTGTTTGATATACTTATATTATTGTTGGTTTTATTTATTTTCTCATTTGTGGCATGAACAATTATTTCATAAATTTTTTTTCATATTATTGATATTTTCTTTAATTTGATTCTTGTAGTATGTGTTTTTCGTAATTTTGATTAATTTTTAAGATTATTTCTATAATTATTATATTCTTGTAATAAATTAAAATTGTTTTTATTTCCAATTACAAGTCTTTTTAATTTATCACTTTGTTTAATAGATTTTATTATACCGCTAGTGATCCAAGGTTTAAGTTTCTTGCAGTTAACTGAATTTATTATTTTAGTGTGAAGGCAACCATCGTACATGGTCTTAAAGGTATCAATAAAAGTTTGATAAGCGAATTGTGGGTCATTTTGAGTAAAAACATTTCCCCAATTTACTAAGCTTATCTTGTCTCCGAATTTGTCATCATCAAATATCTGAACAGTTTTTTGTCTACAGTATTGTTACCATTTTTTAGATGGATATTTAAGAATATAGGAAAATGATCCTTGATATCTGTATCTATTACAAAAGCATCTTGTGCTAGATTATTTATTTCTAAATTTTGTCTCATAAAAATATGGTCTATACAGAAGCTGGATTCTCGAGTTACTCTAGTATATGAATTTATGTAAGACTTAAAACCTAGATAAGCTAACAGAGATATATAGTTGTTTGATACTGCACTTGTGGGATTAAGTATGCTAATGTTTATATCACCAATTATAATATTTATATTATTGCCTTTAAAGTTATTTAAGGAGGTCCTTTCGCCACACCTCTTGCCTCAAATGTTAAAAAAAAAGTTATTAGATTATGACTAAAATTAATTTTTTTCTAATAGTTGAAGTCCTTATTTATCTAATACTGAACTTTTAACTATACCTTACCTTGCAAATTTTTGAGATTTTTTTTTTAAAAATGTGAGTATTTGTACATTGCCTCACGAGAAAGTAAGTCCTCAACAACAATTCTCGAATTATACTATTATTTATTGATTAGATGGAGTAGAAAAAACTAAAAATAAGATTTTTGAAATATTTAGATTTTGTTTTATACAATAAAATATATATAGTAAACCGTGGAACTTATTGAGTAATTAATATTAAAAAATCACAAAAAAATTTTCAAGTAACCTAGTTGAAAATTTTTTGTGATTTTTTAATAATAATTTCTCAATAAATTCCACGGTAACCTATATATTTTATTGTAAAAAACAAAACCTAAATATTTCAAAAACCTTATTTTTAGTTTTTTTCTACTCCATCTAATCAATAAATAATAGTAAAATTAATTATAATTCTAAAATTGTTGTTGAAGTCTTACTTTCTCATAAGACTGTAAAAACACACATTTTTTAAAAAAAAATTCTCAAAAATTTGCACGGTAAGGTATAGTTAAAAGTTCACTATTAGATAAATAAGGACATCTACTATTAGAAAAAAATTAATTTTAGTCATAATCTAATATTTTTTATTTAACATTGGTGGCGAAAGGACCTCCTTAAAAAATATTCTAAATCTCCCAAAAACAAGTTTTCATTAATGGATGGGGCTCTATAACAAGTTAGTAAGGAAATGCCTATGTTATGCCATTTAAAATTAATTATTGTAACTGTAACATTACTTAAAGTAAAATAATATTTTGTGTGTCAAAGTTAATGTTATCTCTAATAAAAATAAGGGTTCTATCGTTTTGATTGTTATTACTACCATTGAAGAATGTTTAAAAACCTTGTATTATATAATAATTTTCATTTATGTTTCTTGTTTCCCCAAAGATAATTATGTTCAGGTTTTTTATTTGAAATATTTCAAGAATTGCTAAGAAGGAGTCAAAAATTTTTTTGGCACTACGTATTTTAACATGAAAAATTTTTAGCTCAGATTTTTTAAAAATTGCTTCAGCACAATATTTGTTATACTGACCTAAGTCATATCTTTGGTTAACAATACTTAAAGCTTGAGTTTCTTCAAGTTCTATTTCATTTAAAATATCTAATTCGGCAATGTCCATTAATTAAATTAAATTTAAATTAGTACCTAAGTATAAAAATTTTAAATACAAAGAAAAGATACTTAAAAAATATAGACAATTTGTCAGCAGTTTATTTCATTCAATGTAGCTTATCTTGTTTCTCAGCATATCTAGGTGAAATTTGAAGGTTGGGCAAGCTAGATTTCTGCTTTCATGGTCAGTGGCGTGGTTAGTATTATATTTCCCATTAGACAATTCACAGTTTTTACAATATGTATTTTGTTTAGGACAATCTTTTTCGATATGTTCATTGGAGCAGATATGATATCTAATTCTATTAACACAGTCCTCTTTTTTATGATAATATTCCTGACATTTGTAACATTTTGGTACGCTCAAATCTTCATAGACCATACATCTTTCCCATCCCAAGCATAATTTCTTTAGTTTTAATATTTGACGAAAAACACTAGGGGAACATTCGCAAATTATTGTTTGATTTTATCTCTGTTTTCACGAATGAAACGGTAACTTCGTCTACTAAGTTATTTTGTTCTTTTAAACATTTTTTAATCTCTTCATGTGTAAAATTTTGTGTGCCATTCACGATTTTTCACAGTTAGTGAAAATTAAAAATCACATTTCAAATTCAGTCATGGTTTCCTCGGGAGTTCCGCAGGGCTCTCATTTGGGGCCACTTCTTTTCGACCTCTTTGTTAATGACATAGGTTCAATTTTTGAGTACTGCAAATGTTTACTGTTCGCTGATGACTTGAAAATGTACTTGAGAATTACTTCCTGTTGTAACCTCATAACCTAGCAAAGCATGAAACGAAGACGTAGAACTAAAACCTAGGGTTTTAGTTCCATGCAAAATAATTTGGACGTTTTTAATTTTAGTTTTGACATTATTAGATTGTCATTAATTTTGAATGTTAATAAAACCTTTTTAATTCATAACACTTCCTGGGAGGACATTTTAACACTTACCAATTGGTTTGTTGCTAACGGTATGTCTCTGAACACTGATAAATATTACTCAATTACTTTTACTAGAAATAAAACTCCCATCGTTTTCAATTATTCACTTAATAATGTACCCATAAACAGAGTTGTTACTATCAAGGATCTGGGTATCAGGTTCGATAGTCAGCTGACATTTGCTGAACATATTACCATTACTAGCAAGGGTTATCAAATGTTGGGGTTTACAATTCGTAATTCAAAGGATTTATCAATTAAAGCTATTTTAGTGGTTTATAATGATTTGGTATGTTCGTTACTGCAATATGCTTCTATAGTCTGGACGCCCTATTACACAGTTCATATCTCGGCAATTGAAAGAATACAACACAAATTTTTGAGATATGCAGCATATAGAATGCACTTACAGGTTGGCTATTACAGTTATGAGGAAGTTTTGAATACACTTATTAACATTAAAAAACCATAGAATATTTATTATTATTTATTATTTGTTATTCAAACTATTGTCAGGGGATATTTGTTGCCCAGAATTTTTGTCCCTTTTTTCACTCAGGATTCGGAATAGGACCACTCGTAACCACAGTTTGTTGGCTGTTCCATTTCATTACACAAATTATGGATATCACACTCTTGTCTCTCGCTTATCAAGAACAGCCAATTTGCTTGGTTAATAGGGCATTGATTTTATCAGTCCTTCCCTGAGCATCTTTAAAGCTAAGTTGAGGTCAAAGCTTTAAAAACATGATATCTGTGATTCGATAATAAATGTATTTATTGTTTGTATCTATGTAGGTTAAATACCACTGCATTATTTTACTATAAAGGGACTTTCTCGTTAAATAAATAAATAAAATAAATAAGTTGCCTAAGTCTAATAATAAATAATAGCGTGAAGGTAAAATGTATAAAAGAAGGATATCTTTATTTATATTTTCATTTTTGTTCGAAAGAAAACATAGAATAAATGATTAAAATTGGTTTCCCATCAGTAAGTCACAAAATTGCATTCCAGCCACATACAATAATTAAAGGCAGAAATATTGAAATCTAGTCCTTGCTGAATGAACATTTAAGAATAAAGGGATGTTGAATAACATTATGAAATGATAATGTATTGTTTATTTATAACCTTTCAAGTTTCTGATGTCTACTATTTCCAGTATTACTGTTATTATTACAAAAATAAAGGTAATTTTTCTTCTTATTGTACACCTATCCATTTATTTCTTTGATTTAATTTCCACTTTGCTACTGAAATTTTTTATAATTTTTACTTTTTTTTGCTAGCATTTGTATAATTTTCAACACAGCAACTCCGGTTGCTTATTGTATTGTTTTTACCTACTTTTTTGAAAAAAAAGTAAAATGTATACGTGTATTTGATATGCCAAAATTGCAAAATATCGTCCTAAAATGCACGAATTATCCGCAGCTAGCGCTAGTATCGCTTTTACTTCCCCTACCATGACTTCGCACAGAGCGAATATATGGGCATATATCTTACTTTTTGGTCTGCATATTTGCCTGACTCTGCTCATATACATTTAGTCAAAATCTAATGATGGGATCTATGATGAAATCAGAAAAATCAATTTGTAATGGCATCTGCACGATTTTTACTTTTATATTATCTAAAATAACAATTTCTAAAATAAAATATAAATGAGAATCCCCAATTGGGTTAATCAAATATCTGTATTCCTTGTAGATATCACCTAAAAGACGTTATCGTTGGAAAAATTTATTTCTTATTGGTTCGAATAAAAATAAAACACATGGAAATTGCGATTATAAAAAAGGAATCTACTGGTCAGGGTAATACAACGTATACTGAAAGTGTAAATATTGCAAAATATGAAATTATGGATGGGGCACCAGTGAGAGGTAACACATTAAATTATTTTACCCAATTCTACGTACTAATTACTTAAACTTTTAAGGCGAAAGTATTCCTATTAGAGTGTTCTTGGCTGGATACGAATTGACGCCTACAATGAGGGACATAAACAAAAAGTTTTCTGTTAGATACTTTTTAAATCTCGTTTTAATGGATACTGAAGATAGAAGATATTTTAAGCAACAGGAAATAACTCTATGGAGGAAAGGTAAGTTAATATAAACGCTTTATATATAAGAAGTAATATAAAAAAAATTTCAGGTGATAAACTTCGAAAGCCTAACTTGCAAAGCCCCGCCATCATGGCTGGCACCCAAAATCTCCAGAACACCGCTCAACATTACCAACAGCAACAGACTGAAGACAGCGAACGAAAGACGTCGACGGTAAAGGAGGATTTCTTGAGAGTGCCTAGTTCAAATTCGAACGACAAACTCAATTCTGCCGATCCATTTGACCAACAAGTATCGTCGCCGACGGAGAGTCCGGAAAATCTGATACAGAACATGACAAGGGAGGCAGGCGATGGACAGAACGATATAGGAAATGATCATTTGGAGTGATATGTAAGTTATCGGTTAGAAGAATCTGATAGGAAAAGACGAAGCTGATAAGTGCTAATTTCATATTTATTTATTCATTTCTTCTATGGTATTAACACTTGATCTCACTCAATTTTTTCTGCCATTATCTCAATGGCAGAAAAAACATATGTGGGTAAAATAATAATATAAAGGTTAGCAAAAAAAAGCTGCCAATGAAAATTGTTCAATACATTTGAATAAAAAATGCATTGCAAATAATGGTAACAAAGATAACACTACACTACTAGTATTTGTTTATCGTTTATTTAGCAGCTAGCTAATACAAATATAACAATAGGTTAAAAAAAAAATCAAAAATTAAAATTTAAAAAATTACAAGAAAAATTTTAAACCATATACATTAAAATATACAAATAACAACAACACATTGAATAAAAAAAAGTGTATTAGCAGGTTCCTACACTACTTCTTTTGTTGTTCTAACATGTACCATTTTAATTTCCTCTCAAATATATTAAGCGAAGTAGCATTCTTAATTTCCTTAGGCAGTTCATTAAAGGCTTGAACTCCTTTAATGAAAACTGTGTTACTTTAATTGACACTACTAGCCTGACGTATATGAAAGTTAGTGCGGCTTCTTGTATTGTATTCATGAAATTCAAAATTATATTTTAATTTGTCACTTAAATATACAGGAACATCACCAGTTTTTATTTTAAAAATAAATACTAATGTTAGATAAAGAAAGTGATTTTTAACATATAACCATTTTAATGTATTTAACATTAATGTTATATGTGTTCTTCTATCACAAGATAATATTACTCTCATTCCTTTATTCTGAAGTCTTCCAATTTCATTTTGGTTTAGTAAATACAAAATGGTTCCACAATAAGTGAAATGAGGTAAAATCAAGCTGTTATATAAAAGAAAAAGTGACCATTGATTTAGATGCTTAGATTGCCTACTTAAGTAGTTAATTTTAAATGCTATTATTTTAATAATGTATGAAGCATGTTCCTTAAAAAACATTCTATTGTCTACTATTACACCTAAGTATTTAATTTTTTTTACTAACTCAATTTTATCGTTTACTATTTTAATATCATCATTATATTCATTGAAGTCATGGTATTGCTTGTCGTTTCCTATAATCATAAATTTCGTTTTATTTTTATTAATTTTTAATGAGTTGACGCAGCGCTACTTATATACTGACTTCAGTGTTTCATTTATTACATTAATTATATCGATAAGATCATTTGATGCATAATAGATTAATACACTGCAAACAGATGAATGTTGCACCTATCAATAATAAATGAGATATCATCCATATACAATAAAAAAGTAGGGGACCTAACACGCTACCTTGCGGTACACCACACTCGTTTGTAATTTCAGTAGATAAAATTGTTATTTAATTTTAATTTCTGTTTTCTATTATCTAAATATCCTATCATCCATTTTAAAGCAGTATCAATGATACTAAAACTTTTTAGTTTTCTAAGTAAAGAATGGTTAACAGTTTCGAATGCCCGCTGAAGATCTAAAACATACTGCAGTGCTGTTTCACAACTATGTCTACCTCTAAATCCCGACTATACACTATTTAATAAATTATTCCCTTCTAGATATTCAACAAGTTGACTATAAACTACTTTTTCCAATATTGTCTCAATAGTACAAAGCATATTTTCTGGTCTAAGATCAGCTGCCTTATTGGAATTAGTAACTTTAGCAATTGGTGTTATAGTTGAAACTTTTAAGATTGATGGAATGGTATTGGCACAGCTTATACAATACAGCTAAAACACTTTCTTGGCGGCAACGGTTTGCGTCGATTTCGTCGCGCATCGCTTAAGCTCCGCCTTCGAAGGGAAAAGACGGTTTTGGCGTTCAGAAGCGTACTTAGGCAAGGTGTTGAGTCGTGCGTATAATTTCGTTGATTGTATAATTTCGTGGAGCCTATAATTTCGTTGATTTTGTTTGAGTTAAAGGTACTGTTATTATTTTGGTGACTCTTTAGCTGTGAGTAGAATGAGTTTGTGCAGTCAAAAGCTGTTTTAATAAGGGTTATACCTGCAAGAAAACATTCTTTAGTTTTCCCAAGGACCCAAACCGATAAGTACTACATTATAAGAAATTTTCATTGTTAAAAATATAATTTATACAGGGTGTCTCATTAGTGCGTTATTGTTCATTATTTTGTTGTAGACACGCAAGAAAGTTTTAAATAAAAGTTATATGGATTTGAAAAATACCTACATATTTTAAAAATATCTTTGGATATACAGGGTGTCACGTTTTTGCCTGGAAAATTAAAATGTATGTTTTTTAAATGGAACACCTTGTATTTTATTTTATGATGAAATTATTAACACCCTAAATTATTGTAAAGACGAATTGCTACAGAAAATTTTTATCAGGTATGTGTGTGGTTACCTTTTAATAAAAGCCTTGCGGATCCACTCCTGCGATACCTGTCTTAAATATAACAAAGATCACGTTGAATTAGACGATTTTTCTTTTTATTGCTTTTAAAAGGCATATGATAACGCCAATTCAGATACATTTGGAAATCTGCAACTGTCAAATGATGAATTTGTAGAACTAATATTCAATATTGAAAAGATATTTTAAAATAATTTTGAAGAATTGGCTACAAAAAATAACATTTGTACCACACTTTTAGAATTAACCCAATACCCTTTAGTCATCCATGCTAACGTTTTCCAAAAGAATAACTTATTTTATTGTATGTTTAATCTCAATAACTAAAAAATATACTGACAATTAGTTTGACAGAATTGTCATTTATTTAAAATTTTAAAAATAATAGCAGTCGGTTGATCAAAATATGAACGGTGATTGGCGAATTTTTTTTTTTGCAGTGTTCTCACTACCTAGAATGGATATGAAATATATTCGTTCAATTGAAGGCAATAGCATACTTTTTCGTTTTGTAATCTGTGCATGGATATTAGCCAATCTACGCACATACTACAAAACGAAAAATTATGTTATTGCGTTCAACTACGAATATATTTCATATCCATTTTAGGTAGTGAGAACACTTTAACAAAATTAAATCTACAAATCACAGTTCATATTTTGGTCACCCAGCTCCTATTATTTAAAATTTTTTAAATAAGTGATAATTCTGTTAAACTAATTGTCAATATATATTTTAGTTATTGATATTAAGTATACATTAAAATTTTTGTGTAGACTCGATAAATAATAGCATTTTTGTTTTTATTGTGTCCACATTTAAAAAATAATAAATTTTAATCAAACTACATGATACTAATTTAATTACGAGTATTAAAACTAAAGTCCTGAAAGTTTCGGTGAAGATGAGGACAGAACATCTGCCTTCCATGCGAAAAGCCCGGGATCGAATCTAGGCCGAGGACTAATTAATTATTCATGTTTATTTTATTTTATAAATTAGTCAACTTCGTAAATTATTTTAAAATTAGTTATTTTGTCTAAATAACCTAAAATAATTTTTTAAATTTGTAGATTTTCGTTAGTGGGTCGTAGAAAAAATATACTGACCATATCGAGTGGCTTGTTCATATCACAATCAGACGATTGAGTACTCCGCCTACGACGTCGTGTTCAAACTTCGTCTTTGTGTGATATGGCTATCATATCCACCCTTGTTGAACAAACTACAATTTATTTGTTTTCTTGGTTTAAGTTTTACATCAGAAATAAGAACTAAATTAATTTACTTTTCAAGTTTTCTTGTAAAAATCGATATTACTTTCTCCAAGTACAAATTTAGTACCTACCTAAAATAAGTACTAATTATGTAATATTGTGTAATATTGTAATTCAAATTTCACATTACTATAAAGTTTCAAAATTCCCTACTTCGGTATGGTCAGATAAAAATTGAATATATTATATTAATAAAAACTGTTAAAGTATTACTTCTACAAATCTGTATTTCAATTAATAAGAATACATCTAAATATAACCAATATTGTTAAAATAAAAGAACAAATTCTTTATAATTCCAAAATACCATAGAGTTCCCAGACCTCAGTCGAAGCATTCGTTTATCTAGGTATAAACCCTTTGCGCAAAGAGTAACACTTGCCAGAGACACGGGGTACCACTTGATTTGCATCCACGAGCGAGACACATTTCTTTAACAATTGAAGCCCTTGGTGTAAAAAGGATCCAAGTCACAATTTGTCGTGAAGTGACTGTTTTAGCTCAAAACATTTGTTAACGAGGATTTTACTAGCCACATACAAATTATTTTACATCTAATCCGAAAGATGTGCTATTTTTCGTAATATTTATATTTAAATAATTTTTTTAATTATATTTGACAGATTTAAAACAAATTAAAGATTTAATTTCCCAAAACTTACTTAACATGGCATGTAACCAACCTTATTACGTCAAGGTTTTCAATTTTTTCAATAATAAAAATATTGCTTAATCCGGGCCCGACTTTTCCCTTTAATCTAACAGAGATAGCACCATTCCGTCTTGCTTGGTTCTCGACCGCCAGATCAAAGACGCCGACACGGAGTTGTGGAGCTGTATTGTATAAGCTGTGGTATTGGTTTCTATAGAAGTATTTATGATGTTAATTAAGGGCAGTGCAACATTATCAAAACAATTTTTCAAAAATTCTACATTTATGTCATCAGGACTTCTTTTATTTGCTATTTCAAAAATAATTTCCTTTAAAGTGTCCCTATCAATTAATTTAAAACTGTTTAAGTAGACATTGTTAGTTCTATTTACAATAGAAAAATCTGGAACATTATATTCTATATTATTGACATTTCTTTGATACTGTTAACATAATATTTGTTTAAAACTTCAGACATTTCACATATATGTTTTACTACTTGACTTTCACTCACCTCAATCTCCATGAATCGAAGTTCTTTATTGTTTTTAGGTATCATTTCCTTCAATATCTTCCACAATACAATAACTATTTGAGAATTATCACATAAATTTTCTTCAGTCCAAGTGTTAAAACAATCTAAAAAAAATGTATACTACACAATTAAAAAATGTTTGTTCCCTATTATTATTATTATTATTACTATCACAGAGACAATCCAACAAATTTTTGGAATACAAAATTTAAAATGTTTTAATACGTTCAATTCACTTTGTACATAAATTAAAGCCTATTTTCACTGTCAACTCTAGAACTTTTATATCCCTTAATATCTATTTCTAAACAAGTTTCAGAAACACATACTAGGCTTGAGTTTTTTTAATAACGATTACAGATTTCATCAATGTGGGCCACCAAGCTCGCAGCATTTAAATATGTTAATAAAAATAATGTAAAAAGAATTGGTTGGAAAAATCGATTGTTAAAAATCCACCAAAAATATAAAAATATTTTTTTTGTTTGTTTCAGAATGACTGGCTGAAATGTGATGTTAATATGTTGGATAAAAACAGAAGGTTATTTTTAAGGGCGAAAGTGTTAAGAAACGTGCACGTAATTTGTAAATAAAGTCATTGTTATTATATTTACAGTTGTAATGAACTGTCTCTGTATATGAAGCAAATTTATTAATTTACATATTTTAATTTTATTGTATATTTCTCATCTAGCTGATTAAAAAAAGTTATTGAAGTTGTGGCATTTTTATTTATCTTTAAATATTCGAGATTTTTTTATTTTTCGTTTCTATGTTATTTGCTGTTTAATAATGGTCAGGCTTCTACATCCAAAATGAATACTATAAATATATTCAATGAAAAACATTCGCTTCTCCGGAAGAAGAATCTAAGTGCAAATTTAGACTTTTTGAGTTAAATATGGTATAATTACAATTCTTCAATGGAAGAACAAAAATTTGCTTCCTCGAAGTCCTCATCGGTTATTTCCAAACTGTTTCCTGAGTTTTAAATTTTATTTTATCATTCTTTGGTTTTAATTTGCTTACCTATATATTAAAATTTTACAATTTTTTCATTAGCAAATGGTGTTATTTACATACGAGTGCAATTGACAATAAAAGGCATATCCACTTTTAATTTTTTTACTGTTGTATATCATAAATTTATATAAAATAATACTGCACACCACATATCACATTCAGACTTATAATTTGGAAATTTTTGTGATTTTTCAACCATGTCATAATTTTAAGAGGGGTCTTTTCTTCTACATTAATAAGCGTGGTCCTTAATGAACAATCCTGCCTCTCCAGCCTTGCCTTGTACACTGCCAGCCACATATTTGCCTACAGCAGCTTCACTGTTAGCCTACAAAAAAACAATCATTATTTTGAAGTTATTATGAGTACATGGCTCCCAACGGTGAATAAACATCGACTACATTCTTAAACTGAATTATGAGGAAAAATCTTTCCTTCTGAACTGATATATTATTATGTTATGGAATTTTTTAATTCAGAAGTAGTAAGAAGACCAGAAAATCGAAGATTTTTATTTCATAGTTATGACGAAAGCGCAAACAATGGGTAGTCATTCTCTGAACCCTTGAAAAACTAGAGAAATATTCAAAGGGAACTACAAGCATAGAGCAAGTTATTTGTTTAATTTCAGGTCCTTCTTTCTGAGCTTGTAATTGAGAAGGACACGTCTCTGTAGAGTTCAAGAGAAAGTAAGGCCTATTTCACCAGAATTTAAAAGGCTAAGATCAATGCCACGAGATAAAAGGTCAACTGGATTGTCCTTTGTATCCACGTGCTTCCAGTAATCAACTTCCGAATTGAACTGGATCTCATACTCTGTTAGAAACAAAGGTTTTCAGAATGTGAGGTTCTGATCCACCACAAAACAATAATAGAATCTATCCAGAGGTAATTGCATTTAGTCGAAGCAATGAAGCAAAAAGTTCCTGGGTTTTTCCGTGCAAGTCGAATCGGAATGCGGTTTTTTGCATTCGCTTGCAAAAATTATTTGTATCATTCCCCGTAATTTCCGGGTCATACAAACCGGAAATTGCATTGCTGCAGCCAAAAATGCATTCAAAAAATGCATTATTTGAGAGGCCTCTTGGATGATTTCAAAACTTGTTAAATAAGTGTCCGAACTAGCCCAGATCGGGTTCTCGGGGGTTTTCGAGGTCGCTGATCACGATTATGATGTCTAAATTGACCCACAACCGACCTAGAGCTCAGGAACGTCATCTTCGTGGGACTCTCCCAAAATTCACGCAGGGAAGGAGGGCAACTAGGCGATCGGGGTTTTTTTGGGTCGCTGAATACAAATATGGCATCGGCGAATACCGCATGGATACCTGGTGCGTCTGAACCTAGACCTGGACGTCATCTTCGAGGCGTCAATACTGCAATAGCTGTGTGCAATTGTTGATTCTAGATTACGCGAGGAGGAAAGAAAGATAATGAATAGAAACGCAATATTTATGTAATTTACGGTAAAACAATTTTTATTGGCCTCAAATCGAATACAATGAACCTGTAAGTTTGTCATTCCTTAATTAATTAATAACTCAAATGTGTCTGGTCATTTTCTTCGTCATCGACTGATGTATTCATACAGGGAACATCTCCCTCATCTGAGGCCTCTGTCTCTGGCACATTAACGTTTTCATCTGAATATCTTTTAGTGTTAGGGCAAGTTGAACCTTCACAAATTTTACAGGCAAGATTGCAAGGTAGGCCGTGCTTCCTGCAACTACAGGTGTTCAGATTACAATCTCCTTTGCATCCACAGAATATTAGTTCCATAATATTCTTTTTCAATTGGGTCTGGAAAACCTCGGTGAAGAAGTTCAGGGCCAGGTTAGGGCGCACCAAGTGTTCGGGAGGTCGTTCTCCACGTGAAATTCGGATTCAGCGCCCCAAAAAACCCCCCGGAACGATTTTCGGTTCCTCTTTTTCAATTGTGTCTGGAAACCCCTCGGGCATGACGTTCAGGGCCAAGTTCCGGTGCATCAGGGGGTCGTTTTCGACGTGAAATTTAGATTCAGCGCCCCAAAAAACTCCGCTCAATCATTTTCGGGTTGTTCTTGTCGATATTGTGAGGAAAATTCTCGGAGATGACGTCCAGGTCGAGGTTTGGGCGCATCAGGTGTCCGGGGGCATTCGCCGATGCCATATTTGGATTCAGCGACCCAAAAAAAAACCCGATCGCCTAGTTGCCCTCCTTCCCCGCGTGAATTTTGAGAGAGTCCCACGAAGATGACGTTCCTGAGCTCCAGGTCGACTGTAGGTCAATTTGGACATCATAATCGTGATCAGTGACCTCGAAAACCCCCGAGCACCCGATCTGGGCTAGTTCTGACACTTATTTAACAAGTTTTGAAATCATCCAAGAGGCCTCTCAAATAATGCAATTTTTGAATGCATTTTTGGCTGCAGCAATGTAATTTCCGGTTTGTATGACCCGGAAATTACGGGGGAATGATACAAATAATTTTTGCAAGCGAATGCAAAAAACCGCATTCCGATCATAGAAATAGTATAGAAAGCCGATTCCATATATCAAAAATGAAACCATAAGGAGAAAATAGTGTGTCGGAGCTCATGCGTATAACGGTGCTGGCGCGAACAGGACCGGTGCAAGTTTTTTATTGATCGAACAAATAGTTCACACGATATTTCAATAATACATTTTTAGAGATGATTCTATACAAAAAACGATTAAAAAAATTTCAAGTTAAGGTAAATATGGTTCTGACAGTCCTTATTAAGAAAGATATGGCATAAAATATGAATTAGTTAATTTTCGGCAATCATTAGTACAGTAGTCATGAGATTTTGCTTGTGATTTTAAAAATTCTTTCCAGAAAAACCACGTGCTCCGGTTTTGACTACGTTTATTATTAAACAGCGAAATGATATACAAAAACTTTAATCCACAATCTAAATTAGGTACTATCACAAGAAAATCACTGTTACAATAATTAATTACTTAACCAAAAACTAAAATACTTTTTAGGTACCTACGTAACCAGAAAGGAGCTGGATCATTTATCCTAATATTGATTTTCTCTCTCCCTACGGTAAAACTTAAAACAATAACAAATTGCCTATCTACTAGGGTCGGTAACTAAACGTATATACATAATGGGCGGATTTTGTTTATACTTAACATTACACTCGCGCATTTAAATATAACTATCCATATAAATATTTACAAATAAAGATACTTTTCCAAACAGGCAATCATTAGTACTGTAGTCACGAGATTTTGCTTGTGATTTGACATCTTATTTGATAATATCATTTGCTACAACTAAATTTATTCTGGGGAGTGCAAAATAGGGCCCAGGAATATTATGTTCGATATTTTTTTACATTTTGTCAGCCGAGACTATGAGTCGTTAGACAGAAAACCTTTCATGTTACCATTTTCAATATAAATTAAAAAATTAAAAAATACTACTACATTTACTTGGTACATATTTTATTTTAATTTTGAACCCTTTTAAAAGGGTCTTTCGGTTCCATAATAAAAATTAGTTGCTGCTTACTAGAAACATTCTATATAGCCTAAACCAATTTATAGTTTGTTTTCGATCAATTTAATACAAAGATTTAAAGTTTTTTGTCGATGATAACATTCCACACGAGCACATTGCAAACCTATTTTATAAATAATAGGAATAAACTTGTAAATCATTAATTTGGTAGTTATCTCACTCATATGATTTTTTTGTTTATATGACTATTTCGATTTCTAAATATATTTTGGCCTTACAATACGAAGCGTTTTGTATCTACCACTTTTTTAATGAACGATGAATGTTGACAGGCGTGTACCTTTTTCGGAACAAGAGGCGTTTTAACGAAGGAAATGATTTTCGAACTATCTAGTTAGTTTTCGGAAAAATAGAAAACGTTTGAAGAAAGTTGTCAATAACAGTTTGTCGTTCATGTGTTTCATTTTGATCAGCTTTCATACTAAATTGCGTAGAATATTTTTCCGATTCAAAATCGAGATTCTCGATATTTCCACAGTTTATTTATAATACCTTCTAAACTGGATTTATCTATCATTTTATATACTTTATAATATATGTTCATGCCCTACTTTTCACTTTATTAACAATTTTTTTTAACATACTTCAAAATGGTAGGATATTCTCAATTCGTTGAAATATTTGTTTATGTATGTTGAGCGATAATTCTTTACCACGTTGCCCGATTTCTAGGATTCTTTTTGTTAGAAAAGGAAACAGTTTTATATACATTAAGTCAAGATCTGAAGATGGGATCCATAAGAAAATCATTAACATCTTTATTTTTAAAGTAGGTTATTTTTTTAATTTCTTTAAACCTTACTGGTTCGAACGCGGTAAGGAATGAAGAAATGTAAATAATTGTTGTGTCAGCCAAAAAGCGAAGAGGAAGTACCGATTAAAATATCGAGTGACAGAAGAGTTCCTAAGATTGTTGAGATCGGGTTTATGTTTTAAAATGCCTTAAAACCGATATCGATAATGTCTCCCCGTCGCTGGGCAGCCTGTATATAAATATACAGCTCTCTATTTACATAATTATAATTCTTTGGTAGGTTTAGATTTGCAGACATAAATCTTGTAATAAATATAACAGCTGCCTAATACATTGATTACATTTTCATTAGCCAATGTAAAAATGTCTTTTATTGTACCTAGGATTTGACTAAACACTACACAAAACTAAAAATAAAATGCCACTTTCATCGTGTAATTAATGCCGCGTTTGAGAATCCACATCGGATGCATTTTTTACATCTCGAGCGTTTTTTATCCACATCGGACACATCTGTCCCATTACATTTACGTATACTGAATCACGTGGTCAAAGATTTACTACTTACTACATCTCAGATGCATCCGATGTGGATTCTCAAACGCGGCATAAATAATAAACTACAAACGGTCCTGTAAGGGCAGCGTCATATAGCCTTGAAACACCGGATTTTAGTGCTATTGCCAGGTCAATATTGAATTTGTAGGTGAATCGCTTATTGAACATTAAAAATACGGTATTAATGACATTAATACGGTATTTGTATATATTTTTGGAAATGAAATTACACATAAATATTATTAGTTGATTATTTAAATGTTTATAAGTTATTTTGTGGCGATATTTCATAGATATAAACTGTTTAAATCATATAATTTAAAAATTAATTAATTTAAAATTCTTTTTTGTTAGGTATGTTCAATATATTTGGCAACACTACAGGGACAAGTCATGCATATTGCGCAAGCTTCTAGACACACTATTTTGCGATGTCAGGCGCAGAGACGCGTTTTTATGCACAGTAGGTTTCAATTTCTGCTTAAATGTTATGTTTATATTGGTCTTCTATATTATTTCTATGATTCCGATCCGACTTGCACGGAAAAACCCGGTGGCATTCCAAACTGAATGGCTACCAGTGGGTTTTGACAGTTTATGATGTGGCAAAATTATGGTACCCCTGTAGGCCTGGTGATTTGACAAGGTCAATGAAATAGATAGTTACATAGATTGATCATCCATATTTTTTAAAATAAACATAAGCTTATGCCTTGGAAGTAAAAATGTAAGCAATTATTATTTTTTAAATATCTAAAGGCTGAAAATTGGTTTTATAACACATTTTTGCTAAACCGATTCAAATTAATAACTATTTGCCAGGCAATATGGCCGCTCACAAACGACTAGCTTTGAGCAATCTATATAACAATATATGTATCATTGACCCTGTTAATGACAACAGGGTTGCCATATCTAAACTGTCAGTCCCCACTGGTAGCCATTTGGACAGGTCGTTACAATGCCTAATTCCAAGGGGATAAAATTTGTTAAATGAAGCAGCTTTCATTTTAAATTATCGAAAAATTTGCCATCATCTAATTTTACGACAGACGCCTAGTTTATTTTCCCCGGTAATAGGGATAGGGATTATAAGGACGGTTACATAGTGTAGATAGATGTTTTTTAAATTTTACTATTTTTAATGTTGATTTTCGATATATTGTTCTTCGGATCTTATGAATTTTAGATCTATTTTCTTTTCGATAAAATATATCTTCGATCAAATGTTATTTGATAAAATACATTTTCGATTAATTGTCATTCGACAAAATGTATTTTTGGTAAAATTTCCAATTCAATATGTTTTTCGATCAATTTTGTGCTACCCCTATGTAATATTGTCCATGTCGGTTCAAAATATAAGGATGTTAGTTATAGGATAATTTTATAAATCAATCATAATTTATAATTGTGGATCATTGGATTTCATTTATGAAAGGTTGGGAAAAAATACTATTTTCAAATTTCTTTAATGCTCGTCAATAGTTACTAAACAAAACTAAAAAAATAAAATCGGTTCACAAATAGAATAGAAAATGGTACTTTTTGTCTTTGCCTACTTATATATAAATTTTGTTATGTATTAGATAATTTACTGTAAAAGAAATTCATTTTTTTTTTAAGATAACTGATTGTGGAGACACACCTTTGCTATGGGGCCTCTGTGGAGTTACAAGTTTTACATATCATAAAATTTAACAGACATACCAACAAAGTAGAGGGTTGTAATTTTAATAGCTTACGATTTTATGATTTTGTTAATAGATGGCACAATAATATTGTTTTCTGTAAAAAGTGGAGTTAGAAGGTTTTCATGTTAAGGTAACGATTTGTTTTTTTATCGATTAAGTTTAGAAACCGTACTAGATACCTATTCGTTAACGTAGTACAGCTGATTGCACTCGTAAAATTAGGAGAACAACCGTACATAGTACGGTTTTTTATCTCAATAATAAAATACTAGTCATTTGGAAAACCAAAACTGCTGAAAATGATGATAACATTTTTGATATAGTTTTTTTCCTCCTTATTGAATTAATATTAAATAAATCAAAAAAGGTTTCTTTTTATATACAGGGTTGAGTTCAAAACCCTACAAGTCCATACTCCATTTGTATCTGTCATTGGTAGTCCATTAAATTTTCTGAAAAACTACCATTAAAAATACATTGCAAATCACGATATAAAACTTTACTATGCATGAAAATAGTCTGTGTCAAGTAGTTTCAACGTTAATGATTTTTATTGTTTTTCTCAGAAGGCTGATTTTAGACATGTAAAGTTTTCGAACTCACCGATTCAATAAACATATTGATTGATAATCCTCGTAAAAATGGCCAGGTTTGACCAGTTATATATTTAAACTTTTCTGTAGATTTGAAAAGGTTTCAATCATTTAATGATGACATGGGATTTAGGACGGATTTAGGTGAAAAAAATAATCACATACTTTAAACTTTATTTCCTCTTCAATTATATTTTATTTCCTGATGCATATCATAACTATCGATGTTAAAAATAAAAAAATTCTTTATCCATCTATAAATTAATATACACAAAGTTGTATAAATCCTTAAAACAATATTTACAAGTACATAACAGATATAATATAACAGACTTTTAAAAAATTTGGATTTGTTTATAATATATAAAGATCTAATTTAATCACTAACAATTGTAACGCCACATTTATTATAATAGAGGTAGGATGTACCAATCGTTTCCACATTTAGTATACGTGGTCTTTAACGAACAAACCTGCGTCCGCAGCAAAGCTTTTAGCGCTGCCAGCTAAGTATTTGCCTTGACAGGCTTCACTGTTGGCCTGTACAAAAGAATATCATCGTTAAATGGTTATAATAGTATTTTGGACGGCATTTGTGGATAAGGATTCAGGATTTGGATTGGTAACACTTCGGTTAACAGTATTTAAAAAAAAAAAATTACCTTAGCACGCTTCAATAATTCATCCTGAGCTGCCTTGACGTTTTCGTCTTTTCCACCCCATGCTCGGAGGACCGAAGCTTGAAGGGCACGGCCGTAACTGAAGGTAAGGGCCCATGGTTTCTTTCCAGGATGTCTAAAATAATTGAGTTTTAGTTTAATAGAAGGTAGAAGGCTTAATTTACTTTCACAGCAATGATTCTAAACTTCGTTATCTTTGCATTTTATAGTTCTTATCAATTGAATAACAGCCCCAAACAAGATAGTAACCTTTAAAAAACAACGCACAATCTTGTTCTTGCCCAAAAAAATTTTTTGTAAGCTAAATTATCTCTTAATATTAATAATATGGATTTTAAGGTAGATTGCGGTAATACTTCTATGTAGTTTTAAAATATGGCCCTCAAGCCACCCTATAATTTATGTTAATACATTTTTTTATTATCTCTTACAACAAGGAAGATTTTTCACAATATTGGTACACCCTATATATCGGGAAAAAGAATTTCATTTAGTTATTTTGGTAATAGCCATTCATTTTTTAATAATCACTCCTAAACGGCGAGACTGTGTGTGTCTTAATTATAACTATATAGTTTAAGTTCTGTCTAAAATGGATTGCCATATTTTTTAATGTATAACTGTAGATTACTAAATGGTAAATTTGGCAACGGCGCTTTTGCAAATGACAGTATGAAATAAAGTATAACAATATTCGAGATACGTCCCTATCAAGAATTATTTGTCTTTGTCGACCCACTTAATAAAACACAGTACAGGTGAACACAAACGATATATTTTCGCAATGAGTGCAAAAAAGATCTTTTGTGTATTCCTCAACAATTTTTTTTCCGGATCAGCATAGGTGCAATTTTGACAACCCTATCAATCGGTAATATGAAAAGAAAAAATATAAAAAAAAAAAAATGGCTTACAAGTTCATGGCGTTCAAATTGATGGTAGCTTCTTCCTCAGACTGACCACCGGACAAGAATGTTACTCCAGGTACGGCTGGCGGGACTCTACGTTGGAAAGCTTCGACTGTGGCACGTGCAACGTCTGGCGGAGCAGCTTTGCACGAGGATTGGGCGCCGGCAGTGACCATGTTAGGTTTCAGAAGGGTTCCTTCCAAGTAGACGTTGTGGTCCCACAAAGCCTGTCATAAAAATATGTATAATATTAAAATATATCGTACATTTCGGAGAAAACCATATTAAGTAATACTTTGTAATTTTTGTGCCTTATTTAAAATTAAAGATCTCAAGGGTTCTACTTCCCACACAGCACACATTATTTCAGAAGGGTTTCAGAAATATTTCAAACGTTCCAAACATATAATATTTCAAGCACAAGTTTCTGAAATATTTTAGTTAAATATTTCACTGAAAATGTTTCTGAAACATGGTATAAATGTTACACAAAAGGTTATTAAACGGGTTATGTTGTAAAAAGACAACAATTAATGAAGAATTTCTGATTTGTAAGAAGAAGATGGGATATGTAGTTATTTTATTTCATCATATATCCCTGTCCAGCCACCAGCTAGAAACAAGCCTATATTCTAAATAATTATAGATTTGAGTAGTTGGTTTTTGATATTCATGCATTGTGCTGTTGTTATATGGGAAGCAGAAAATGTCTTTAGAAATTAAGGTGAGAACTACATAAATAATGCTTGCTTAGGTGGATCTTCATGTTTTGTTTAGACATGAGTATTGTTTTATTATAGATAATTTAAAAGAATATTAATAAAACTATTGTTAATCAAATAATTTTTATAACTCGTTTTTAATTACCTATATTTTGTTTCAGATTAGTGCATTTAAAGGAATTGGTGGAAAAGAAGCAATTTGCCAGCTTAGGGGATGGGCCAGTAAAAGAAACATCCAAGTTATTCAACGTTTCCAGAATAAAGTATTAACGAATATGGTCGATGCATCCTGGTACTGCCGTAATAGTGATATTCATAGGGACCTTAAAGTGGAGACTGTTGAAAATACAATACAAAAATTGGCCATCTTAGTAAAAACACACTTTGTCTCAAATTTAATACAACCGGTTTTTTTTTCTAATTAAACAAAAAAAATGTGGTTTAGAATTTTTTTAATATTTTTTAGGGCTTCTAGATAACTCGATAATAATAACATTATTTTTTATCACTAAAAAAAAATTGTAGGGTTAAAACATATTTATTTATTTAAGAATCAATGTTTAAGTTTTGTATATTTTAAATAAACATGTATTTAAATGTCTTTTTTTAGTCTAATAATATATTAGAAAAAAAACTAGAATACATTTCTGAAATATTACTATTTAATATTTCTAAAAGATTTCAAATTTTCATTTCAGAAATATTACTGTGAAATATTATATTTACAGGACATTTTTACGTTTCAGGCATATTTCAGAAATGTTTCTGGGATGTTTCGTAATATTTATACATTTCAAATGTTCCAATGTAACATTGTTGAAATATTTCCGAAATGTGCTTGTGCTGTATGGGTTTACCACAAAAATTGTTTGGTGGATATGTTACGGGCAATTTGATTATTCCAGGCATTATTCATAATGGCCGTGCAATTTATAAAGTGCCCAATACAGTCGGACTATTTAATAATTTTGTATTTGTCTATAATAATTTTTTTACACTGCCCGGTCATTATAAATACTGCTATTATTTTCTTTGCACTTTGATTAATTTTAAGCAATTTGACAACGTGCGTATAGTGTGATTCTCACTGGCCAATCAGCATCTATTTTTGATGGCTTGTCGCTTGTCCATCTTGGCAGTTAATGAGCTCTCGTTCTCGATTGTTTTCAGTTCTTTGCTGGGCTGTTAATACTTGTGCCACGAATATTTAATGAATTTTGCCTTAAAGTGATTTTATCGTTTCGTTTTAAGTGTTAGTGATTTTTCTATAAAATAAAATGCAGAATAGTTATTTTCCTAACAAGTGCGGAAAGTGTTACTTTCCCGCACGCGACTGCAGTTGGCCCGAACGACGCGAAGCGGAGTTCGGGCAAGTGGTCAAGTGCGGGAAAGACACTTTACGCATGAGTTAGGAACATTATTTTTTCTACGACCATATATACAAAAAAGTAGGAAAAATTATTTTTGGAAAATTATTTTATTTCAACATATACAAATCTTTAAATAAAAACAACTAATTATTATGGATATTAATGTTAAATACACAATTTGTAGCATTTTGTAAATTATGTAAAATTGCCGGTACAGAGGAATTAGTTGGTGTTAATTGGCTGTTAATAGTCGTAACGCTCGTAGATTGAAAAGATGACTTTTAAAAATATACAGAAGGTATATAAAAATATCTCTATTATTCAAGTTTTCCAAAAAATGAAAATTATAACAAAAAGCAAGAAAAAAAGTAAATTTTATTAAATGGAATAGTTGGAAAATACTAAATTACCTATTGTAACAATAGTTATAACATACGAGGTAAAAAAAACTATACAATAGGTAAGGCCAAATAGTCATAATTTCACTTTCCCGCACTAGTGCGGGAAAGTGATTTTTTCCCGCACTAGTGCGGGAAAGTGATACTTTCAAAACTAAAATGCGTGCGGGAAAGTGGGTAAAAATACACGGTCGTAGAAAAAGTTATTATTAACTGATGTAAGTGAGATGAAAAATCGTTTCGAAGAACGGCTGAATGAATTGTGTTTATCAAAAGGTCAGAATACACAAATTCTCACAAAACCTCAATACTTGGAATTAATAGAAAAGGTTAAATAAAGTGGTAAATAAAAAACCCGAGGATTATCAGAGTTTACGCATGTTTGACGTAATGACTATTGGAGAGAAGGAAAAGCCGATAGTTCCTGTACAGGAAGGTAAAGAGCAGATTAGGTTTTACGTACATCGGGAAGAGATATTTCAACATTTACATGATGCACATATTTCTATTTGGCACGGTGGTCAACACCGCATGGAAAAAGAGATCAATTTAAAGTATAAAAACAGTACAAGGGAAATGATTGTAATCTATCTAAATGTATGTATGATCTGCGAAAAAAAAAAAACACAGTGTACCAAGAAAAGGTTTAGTTGTTAGGCCGATAAAATCAATATAAATACTTGTATACTAAGATCATTTAACTAAATTTGTTTAACTTCGACCTCTTAAAAGCGAAAGAGCAGAAGAAGTAGCTTATGTGCTCTTGGATATTTTCACCATTTTTGGTGCGCCCACTATTTTGCAGAGTGATAATGGCAGAGAATTTGCCAATAGTACTATTAACGAACTATGTACCATGTGGCCCGAATTAAAGATGGTACATGGGAAGCCCAGACACTCTCAAAGTCAGGGCTCCGTCGAACGTGCGAATCAGGACGTGGAAAATATGCTTTGTTCGTGGCTAGAAGACAATAACAGCAAGAAATGGTCAGAAGGCTTACGTTTTGTTCAACTTATGAAAAACAGAGCTCATTATAGTGGCATAAACTGTACTCAGTAAGAGGCCATGTTTGGAACAAAGTTAAAAGTTGGTCTAAAAAGTTTTTTGCCTGAGGACGTTCTGCCTAATATAAATTCTGAAGAGGACTTGGAAGCAATAGTAAAAGATCAAAACTATTTAGAGTCTGTAGAAGAAGGTGCACTGCATAATAAACCAGGGTCAAATTCTTTAGCGGAAGTAGGTCCAAGTCAACAATACGAGGGGGAAATATCTTCTCTTGATAGTTATGTTCAACCATCAACTTCGTTATCTGAACCAAGCTCTGATTTCAGTAATAACAAAAGAGAAATAAATGTCTCAGGGGCATCTGAAATTCAAGTTCCCGGTCATGAGAAACGCGCGTATGAAGGTTATGAAGATTTCTCAGAAGATCCCAATGTGAAAAAAAAAAAGAAAAGCCGACATATTAAAAATTAAGGAGATTTCAGCAAGCAATCTAAAAAAAAAAAACAAGCTGAAAAAATGCTGCAAACTTCTAATTTAAAATATCCTGCAGCTAAAAAGGGTGACACAGTTAAGAGTTCGAGTCCCAACGTCGACAGAGATCGCACCGAAGGAAGAAATATTTTGGCAATTGTCCTCGAAATAACAGATGATAATCTTTATTTATTTATTTATTTATTCCAGAAACAAACAGGCATGAGCCTAATTACATGTTCCTATAAATACAGCGAAAATAGAAATCAACAAAAATACATAATATCTAATTAAATATATAAGTGAAATTATAATAAACAAACCTCGCTACTACAAAATTTTAACAAAGTTCGTTAAAGAACAAAACTACTGAAATAATCAGAAATATTCAGGAATAATCAGAGCGTCTGCAAAACCCCACACCAAGGCCACGGAAATCCTACAAGGTTATATCTCTTCAATCGAGCCCAACAATTTTGTTAAGTTCCTTTCTATATGTGCTTATAGCTACATCAAAAATACCGCAAGAAATGCCTTCGGAGTGTACATTAAACAAAAGACAAATTTTTTCTACTGGACCATGATTATCCGCACGAAAAGTTAATTGACGTGGACGAATACCTGCTATTGGAACATTAATTTTTATTTGACTCAATAAATATTGACTGTCCAAATATCCATTTAATAATTTATGTAAAAAGATAAGGTTGATTATAGAGCGTCTATGTTCCAATTTTTCAATTTCAAACTCTTTTCTAATAGGTCCAAATGAAACAAATCCTGGACTTGTATGATACTTTTTAAAGTATAAATATTTGACAAATTTATTTTGAATAGTTTCCAAAATGTGTTTTAAATTTTGTTGTGTAGGGTCCCATACAGTGGATGCATATTCTAATTTACTACGAACGAGAGCAAAAAATACATTTTTAATCGAGTGTGTGTCTGTAAAGTCCCTAGTCGTGCGTTTCAAAAAACCTAACAATTTGTTAGCTTCTTTGGTAATGTTATGGATATGCTCGTCAAATTTGAAATTATTTTGAAAAACTATTCCCAAGTCGGTCATTTTTGACACTCTTTCTAGTGTTGATCCTTGCATTGTGTAGATAAAATTTTGAGGATTACGAATGTTACTGAATGTAATAACCTTGCATTTGGAAAGATTAAAATGTAATTTATTTTCAAATGACCAATCCGAAATTGAGTCTAAGTCATTTTGAAGGTCTAGATAGTCATCTAGGGTAGATATTTTCTTAAAAACTTTCAGATCATCTGCATACATTAGGCAGTCTGATGTAATACGTAGAGGAAGGTCATTAACAAATATTAAGAAAAGTAGAGGACCCAAATTGGAGCCCTGAGGGACCCCAGAGCCTGCGAGGATTGTATGAGATACTTCACCACCAAACATTACGTATTGATACCTTAGTTTTAGATAAGACATAAAGAAATTTATTAGATGATCGCTAAGACCATAATATTTCAGTTTAGCTAGAAGAATATTGTGATTTACCTTATCGAAGGCTTTCTTAAAATCAGTATAAATACAATCTACTTGCTCACGAGAATTGACACATTTTGATATTTTATCACTGAAAGTTAATAAATTTGTATCTACAGATTTTTTACGACAAAATCCGTGTTGTTCGGTTGATATGTATTTTTGAAAGTAAGCATACAGTTTATCATATATTACAAATTCAAACAGTTTCGCCGTACAATTTAATATGGCTATGGGACGATAATTATCTATTTTATTTTTATCCCCTTTTTCAAAAATTGGTGTTAATCTCGTTCTTTTAAATTCACTAGGAAATATGGATGTTTTAAGCGACTTATTAAAAATTACCAGCAAAGGGTATATTAAATAATCTTTACAAGCTTTTAGGATATAACAAGGAATATTATCAGGACCCGCTGTCTTTTTCGGTTTTAACTTTCGAAATGCCGCTTCTAAGTCTTTGACGGATATTAGATCGAAGTCAATATTCTGATAAAAATTTACGTTCCAATTGTTAGTCAAACCATTAATATCTATAAGGTTATAGTTTGAATCGTTGTCATACACTGAACTGAAATAATCAGCGAACTCCCCTGCTATAATTTTTTTGTCAGATATTTCCCTATTTTTTATAATAAAATTTGATTGAGATATATTATTAGACCTCTTATCTTTAATGAACTTCCAAAAAAGCATGGGGTCCTGGTTAACACAGTTCTGCATATTTTAGATATAATTATTGTGCGCCGTCCTTATTTTCAATTTTAGGTCCGCCCTAATTTTTTTATATCTACTAAAATAATATTCCGATAGATGTTTTCTTTTTCTGAAAAATTTTTTGTACTTTATGTCGATTTTTATTTCATCCGTGAACCATGGCGGAAACTGTTTGCAATATGCATGTGGCCTATTAGTAAACTTTGGTACACATATGTCAAGCATTTCATAAAAAACCTGGTAAAAATATTTGACAGAATCATCAACCTTTTCAATGTGTCCAATTTTGGACCAATTAAAATCCCTTAGTAGTTCGCATAGTAATCTAAAATCAGCTTTTGTAAAATTATATCTGCTTTGAAGATTATTATTTGTGTATGCGAGTTGATTACTTTTTTTTACTTCCGTCTTAATTATCAGAGAGGGATGTTTATTATCTATGGGAACTAAAGGTTCTTTATTCTCCTTTATATTCAAATTCAAATTACCAAGCACCAGATCTAGAGTTTTTTGATCCTCATTGAGACAATTGTTGAAAGACTGTAGACTGTAAGTGGCCATTAGTAGAGACATTGTTACTATTATATCATTTTTATTAGAAAATTGAAAAGATGTGCCATTTACGCATGGTATATTGTAATCACCAATAAGTACCATGTGTGTGGTTTGAGTGATTAAGGGATCTAAATTGTCAAATAAATCTAGATATTGCCTGTAGACTTTAGCATTTGCGCCCGGTGGAATATAAGTTGAATTAATAATGACTGTGGTTCCGTGTAGTTTAAGTTTTACAAAAATTGTTTCCAAAGGTGAGTTAATTGATATAAGTGAAGATATGATATTTTTATTTACAGCAATGAGGACACCTCGTTGTTTTCCTGTTAAAATTTTATCCCTATCCTTTCTATATACTTATAAATTAGGCACGAAACATGGAATCCTAAATCAACTTTATGCTAGGAACCAATTTACAATATGTAATGAAAAATTTATTAATGCCGAAGAAATTCCACGGTCAGAAATTTCACTAAGGGAATGTTCAAGAATGTCATCCAAGACTGGGGGCCAAGGCGTAAAGAAAAAAAGCTTTGTAACTCGAAATGTCACCAAAGTGGAAGCTGTTCTAATAAATAGAAGCTCTAGAATTTGACATTTTGTATGTATAATGTATTTGTGCACTTACGGTAGCTAATATGTTTTTGTATTTTTGTATGTAGACAAAATAAAAATATTCTCAAATTGCCCACTCGACTTCCAGCATTATTCATAATGCCTGGGCAATGTGATTTTTTTCTATTTAATTTATCATTTTTTTCAATCCCTTCGGGCACTTTTTAAATTGCCCGGGCATTATAAATACTGCCCGGTTATTTACATTGCCCGTAACAGATATAAATTATATTTTTGTGTTAAAATCGACACCTAGAGAGTGTTGTTTCTAAATAAGGCAGATAAATGACAAATTATTTCTTAATAAGGCTTTCTTCGGGATTTGCGATATCTTATAAGTGTTAAGGTATTGTAAGGTAGAGAAAGAAATAAATAATTACCTTATAGGTGTAAGCCAATACGGTTTCGGTGACTTTCTGGCACGTGACGAGATCGTGGTCACCATCAGGCAAAATTTCTGGTTCGACAATGGGTACGATTCTGTTGGCTTGACAGACGGACGCGTAACGAGCTAGAACGTTGGCGTTTTCAATCAGCGATTGAATAGATGGAGTGTGTTTTCCGATTTTCAAAACGCAACGCCATTTGGCGAAGTGGATACCATCTTTCTTGTATTGAGCGCAACGTTTTCCCAAGTCATCCAAACCTAAAACAACGAAATCAGTTTAACTCTAAATTGCCTGTGTAGGTACATTTAAGGTATATATTTTCAAAAGTTCTCCATATATCCCTACTCTCTGCTTCTATCACATCATCGTTCTAGCTATGCCTTACGTACGATAGCTCTGAGAGACGTTTTTGTAACTTCTATAGTTTCATGTTTAACAAAAAGATTGTAAAGCAGTAACATTTTAAAATATAGTAAGTTTTGTGTTTTGCAACTGTTACATTTTTTTTTTTTTTAAATTGGCTCTATAATAATTGCAATTTCTTTCTTTTTAAAATGAACATGTAAAATTAACGTATTACTGACAACAAAAAACGCTGTTAGTTTTCTAACATGAAACAAAAAAAATCCCTAAAAAATTACCTTGGGTGGTGCATTCATCGTTGCTGCCGAAAAGTGGGACGACACCAGTGTCTACCTTCATGCCGGGAATGATTCCTCTTTGTTTCAACAATTCGGGGAAAGGAGTTCCATCTTCGGCCTTTTGGTACAGAGTCTCGTGGAAGAGAATTACACCGGAAATGTAGTCTCCGAGTGTGGGGCAGGTTGTGAATAAAAGTTGTCTGTAAATGGTTTAATTAGCTGTTAAAATTCTTATTACTAATTAACAAACGCAGTGTATTTTCTATCAACCAGTGTCCAGTTAATATTAAATTATTTTCTGAATTAACTTCTTTTGCTATTTAAATTTAAAAATCTCCCAAAACTATTATCTTTAATTTTAGGCGAGGGTTTAAGGAATGCTTGACTCTCAAAGAAAAATATAATTAGGATACTTTTATATAGTAGTACTATTATATAGGGATTTCATTTCAAAACTAGCCACCCAAAATAACTGTTAAAATATCTTTAAAAGAAAAAAACAAAAAAACACGTTAATTTATATTTACAGGGGGACACATTTTACAAGTATCTGTAACCGTGCAGTTTCATCCCCTAAGCGGTGGTGAATATCACTTCTAAAATTTTAAATAGAAAGGGGTATCATGTGATAGCTCTTCTTAAAGGTCTCTTTTTTCCAATTTTTTGACACATTATTTTTTTAAATCGAATTAATTTTTCACCTAGTTATGCCATTTTAACCTTTTAAATTAAAATTATTATTATTTACATTGTATTTACATTATTAATATTTTATTTGCGTAAGAATTACATTGTACTTAAATAAGATGTTCAAAATGTCTGCCATTGTTGGCAAGGTAATGGTAAAGTCGCAGCTCGAATTCATCCCGCACTTTTTGAAGCGTTTCTGGTGTAATCCGCTCACACTCCTCCACTATTCTACGTCTAAATTCAGGAATATCGCGAGGTTGAGTTTTAAACACCACAGTTTTTAGATGTCCCCATAAAAAAAGTCAAGGGGCGTTAGGTCGGGTGATCTCGCTGGCCATTCTATAGCGCCCCTTCTTCCGAACCATTTATCTGGAAATGTCTCATTAAGGCAATTTCGTACAGGCAAGGCATAATGTGGAGGTGCTCAGTCCTGTTGAAAAAATAGGTTTTCTTCGTCTAGTAACAAATTTCCATCTTGATCTATTTGGTTTTCTAAGGATTCGGTTATAAGAGGATTTATCAGATTTTCTAGTAAGTTCAAATTCCCCAGTTAAATTTTCCTCCATGAAAATAGGACCAATAATTTTATTACCAAGAATTCCGGCCCATACGTTGATTTTTTGAGGATATTGGCTGTGCTCTTCCCGAAAAACATGTGGTTTTGTATTGTCCCAGTACCTACAATTATGTTTATTGACAAATCCATTTAAAAAGAAACCTGCCTCGTCAGTAAAACAAATATTTTTAATAAAATTGTGGTCTTCATTTTCCCTCTGAGTTATTAATTCGCAAAATTCTAATCTTCTGTCATAATCATCCTCAGCAAGCTGTTGTAAAAGCTGTATTTTGTAAGGAAAGAATTTATTTAGCAGTAACGTTTTATGCACAGAGCCAACGGAAATATTTGTTAATCTGGAGACTTTTGGTATTGATGTTTGAGGTTCCATGGCAAAATGACCTAAAATCTCAACTTGTGCAGCTTCAGTTAAAACTCTACGATTCCTTACAGTTTTATTGCACACACTTCCAGTTTCTTGAAATTTATGAACTAAATCCAACACATACTGATGCCCAACATTTTTATCGGGATGTCTCTAATTAAAAACACGAGCAGTTCTGCGTGCACAGCGTTGTTCTTCACCATAAAGATTATTTCAATTCTTTCTTGTAAAGAATAAACCATTGTCAAAATTAAATTGTCAGTACACAACGAAACCAATAATCTATTAATAATAAATTGTTTTAATTTACGGTCAAAAATATCTTACGCAAAAAACATTTAAGGCTTTTTGCTAACTTGTTTATCTCGGTATTTATACTCATGCATTTTAATTCAATATTTTTTCCGCTTTCTAGAACTTGGTGAAAAATTAATCCGATTTAAAAAAATAATGTGTCAAAAGATTGGAAAAAAAGAGACCTTTAAGAAGAGCTATCACATGATACCCCTTTCTATTTAAAATTTTTATAAGTGATATTCACCACCGCTTAGGGGATGAAACTGCACGGTTACAGATACTTGTAAAATGTATCCCCCTGTAAATATAAATTAACGTGTTTTTTTGTTTTAAAGATATTTTAAGTTATTTTGGGTGGCTAGTTTTGAAATGAAATCCCTGTATAAGTAATTATATAAAATACAGAAAAGTCAATTGAAAAAAATTAGGAAATTATGTATATCGAGGGTCAAAGACTAGAGATAAGGCATGCTCAAAATACGGTTCCAAAAATCACATGTCAATTGAGCTTTTATAATTAACCGCATGGGTGCTGGTACGGTTTATGTAGTTCAAAATACATGGCTTCTTATGGGGATTATACATAATTTTGTCAAAATAATAAAAATAAACTTGTTTATAGCTAAATAAAGCACAGAACATAGTGTTGTATTTATTTCTAAATAAGTCTTACATATTTTAATTGATACATTATTTACTATTTACTCTTGTTTAAGTAAAATGCAAATTATTATTGATAAGTGTTGAAATTTGATGGGTAGGGTTAATTATTTTTAATTAAAGCTAAATAGGGCTGAGGGCATACTAAGACACGGTTTAAATGAAAATATTTAGTTAGGGATTTTACAAAATTTTATGAAAATAATAAAAATCAAATTGTTTATTGCTAACTAAAGCATAGAAAATACTGTTGATTATAATTATTGTAAATAAGTCTTTGTTTTAATTGCTAACTAAAGTACAGAAAATACTGTTGGCATTATGAATGAGTCTTTATGTTAAACATTATTTACTATTCATTATTTAATTTTATTTAAATAAAATGAAAATTAGGTATGACCAAATTTGAAAAGGTTTGTTAAATGGTGAAATTTGGTAAGAACAGTTTTGTGGTAAGTCTGTATTCGACAACTACAATTTCATCAACCTGGTGAATAGTTTCTTCAGCAATAGGTTCTAGTATTTTCTTCCTTTTTTTTTATTCTAACAAATTCAGTTCGGTTCAATGGTGGTATGAAGGGAGATTCGGGAATATACATGGTATTGCTTCGTTCTTTAATTTCGGCCTTTCCCTTTTTATTTTGTTAACAGTACCATTAGTTAAAATAGTCTTATCAAATTTTAAAATATCATCTTCTAAAAAGTGTAGCTCGCAAACAAAATCATAACTAGACAGTACTTTATCAGCCCTAGGAATCACATGCTGCCATTGTTCAAAACGTTTAGGATCCTATAAAAAATATTTGCAATGACTAAATTGGAGTTCAATAAAGAAAAATAACAGTAGTAACTTCAAAGAACATAAAAAAATCAAATTTTCTTTTCTAGAAAGTTAAATTTAATGTGTAATTATTGTTGTCTGTAAGTCAGGATTTATGACTTTATTATTTTTTATTATAAAATTTTGTAATTAAATAAACTACACTCCGTAAGATACGGGTTGTGACTATTTTACAATAAATATATATTATTTAGAAATAAATACATTATTTTACTTTAAAAAGATTTGGATTTTTATCTCCTTGTTTTCTTGAATTTTATATCGGATTTATATCCCGTTTTTCAACCCGGAACGAAGCAAATCCTGCTTTGCCGTTTTTCGTTACTCATTGTTACTTGTAGTCAGGTTCTTTATTTCAGCTTATTTTTATTCTTTTCACTAAATTTTACAAAAATCACTTTAATTCCCTTTGACTTGCATAGAAAATAGACGTCGTTATTTTGCCACCCGCCAACTGCAGTAGTTTTTTGGAACTCCATAAAAATAGGGACGGAAATTTGACCAAGACCGATTCGCCTCCTTCATAGTCAAAACAAAACGAAGGAACTCGTAACTAACATTTTTTTCGAAATTCGTTTTATTATGAAATATTCCGTAGAACAGATGATGCCATCTGTTGACCAAGTTTGAAGTTAATCAGTTTTCAGTTTTAGCGGTAAATCGCGAAATTCATAACCTCTTGTTTTTAGCTGGTAAGATGTTTAAAATAACTATAATTTTATATTACTTTTAAAAGAGTTATTTTGAAGGTTTTGTTAATGTTTTTGTCTCGTTTATTCTACAATAAATATATATTTCTTCATCCCAAAAAGCATTTTTTTCCCGGCGACACTTACGAGGTCGTGTATTTTTGAAAATTCAAACAGAATTAGCACTTACGAGGTACTGTATAAAACTACTAATATAATAATGTCCAGCCGAGCAAGAAAGATAGTCGCAATGACTAAAATTCTGCACTCAAATGAATCAGAAACAGTAAACGAAAACCATGAACAAGAAAATCACTTGAATTTGACAAATATAAGTTATCTTAACAATAAGTCTTTTCTCGAGCTTAACTTGGAACAGCTTCTGATTCCTAAGGATATTTCTGAAATAATCAGTATCGCGGAGGTCGTATTCGAAAGTAGTTTGTAGCCAGGATTTCTTAAGAGTTCTCCTGAACTAATTGGGAATTTGGAAATCATGGAATCTACAATATCAGATCCTAGCTTTGAAATAAACAATGTAAACAATGTAGAAAGCCAATTTTCACGATAATACCCGAAGAAAAGCTTCCTGATCCCGATTACGACGCCACTTTGGAGCCCAACGCTGGCTCATCTGAAGAAAGCATAGTCGAAGATAATTATTCAGATCAAGAACCGCAAGGGCAAGTATCAGAAAAGGATAGCAATTTAGAAGATCAACCTGCAATCAACTTGTAAATAGAAAGCGTAATAAAAGGGCTATTAATAAAAAACTAAGACTGACGGGAAACAGCTACTTGGGATTCACATAGCCCAGAAATAAAAAAAATACGTTTCAAAACAAAAAAACAAAAGGAAGGTGTAAGTGTTCAAATAAAGAAAAGGTGAATGGTGCTACAAGAAAATATTTTTTAATTTCAAGCGAAGATCGAGAAAAGCTATTCAAAAAGTTCAGAGAAGATATGACTTGCGAGCAGCGAAGAGTTTTTGTTGGAAATACCGTCAAAGTATGTGGTAAAAAGAGGCCGTCAAAAAAAATTGAAACCTCTCGTATATCCCAAACACTAAATTATTCTTTTATTATTAATAATACATCCATGATTGTAAGAAAATGTACCTAAATATACTTAGCCTCGTAGAATAGTCCGTATGGTCCTGGGAAATGAAGTCTGAAAATGGCATGGCAAGTAGCGACCAAACCGAAATGAGCAGGGGAGAAAAACGACAGGATATTTTTGAAAATGACAGAAGATTTCTCACTGAGTTTCTTCAAAATTTAAACAAGCTTCATTCACATTATTGCCGAAAAGACACCAATAGAATGTACTTGGAGCAATCTTTTCAGTCATGGTCGGATTTATACCGAGTCTACAAGAGGCCAAGAAGAGGGGCAAAATCCAATGTCAGTTATCACTATGATTAAACTTGCCGACCAAATGAAAATCTCCATATTCCGACCGAGAAAGGACCAATGTGACTGTTTTAAGTATAAGAACGACAATATAGAACTTAAGGAACACATTGAGAAAAAAATTCAGCAAGGCGGGAAAAGAAAACAGATAAGGAGAAGGCGATAAATGGAGAGTTTCACATGATAACCATGGGACGTGCAGGCTGTGAAGCTGTCTCCACAAGTACCAGCTAGCACGTTGTACTATAAACAAAAATTGTGTTGCCACACCTTTACGATTTACAATTTAGTTAACAACCAAGTCATATCTTATTGGTTTAATGAAACTGTTGCCAATGGACAGGCATCTGTTTACGCTTCCTTTTTAGTTGACTATTTAGAAGGGCAACTCTTAACTCAAGAGGTCAAAAGATCTATCATTATTTATTCTGATGGCTGTACGTCTCAAATCAGGAATAATCTGCTCACCAATGCCCTTCTTTATCAGATAAGTATAACGGTTCAATAACAAAAGTTTTTGGAAAAGGGTTACACTCAAATAGAGAGTGACTCTGTCCATAGTGCTATTGAAACCTGCTTAAAAAACAAGGAAATATATCTGCCTAGTGATTATTGAATACAAACATTTTGGGGACAAGATCGTTTCCTGGCAGTTACGCCTTTTGGTACGTTTTAGATGGACCACCCTGTACTATAGGGTGTTCCTTAATGATATGCGAATATTTAAAGGTGCGAATCTACATAAAAAATTAATGATAATTTGTTTTATAAACTATTATCAAAAAATGTTTGGTTATGAAAATACGTGATGCAAAATTTTTAGGAAAAAAATAAAGGAAATATATTAATATTAAGCAGAACTTCACGTTGTTGGTTTATTTGTAACTCAGAACTTCTTAACTGGACACTCTACCCTTTTGAAGGATGAAAATTTCGCAATATATAGCAAATTGTATATGTCGCATAAAAAAGAAAATTTCGATATGTACATGATGAAAGAATTCAAAAACTGTCAGTGACTATGTCCAGGAAAAATGCAGTGTCATTTTAATAATAGCAGTTATTTGTATTTGGTATATTCTTTTTTAGCTCTACATTATATGTATGAACATTATTTTTTAAAAACTTATTTTTATCTTACTTATATATAAATCCCATCTTATTCATAAAATAAGTAAAGTATAAATAATAATATAATGTGGATAAATGTGCGAATCCTAGTTAGGAAAATATTTCCGGCGTCCCCTGATACCAAATTTGAATTCTTCAAAATTAAAAACCCAAGTGTCTGATGACATTTCGATGTGAGACCACCGTTGGTTAAAATTCAAAATAAACTTGATGTTGGCGACCTCCACGTTATCTCGAAACCCTAGGATGACAGACAGGGCAACTTATGACCACCTTCTCCAAGAGGCTTTGAGAGAGGTGGAGGCCGAAACACCAAACAATAACGATGCTTTGGAAAATTACTCGAACACTATCTAAAGCACAATAAACAATGCCTATAAGAAATCCTGTCTCCTGAGGCTGCTCCAACACGATCAGACGACTACCGCATGGTGGTGTTACCTCAGGAAGATGGCTAGGAAATGTTTTAATAAGGCAAGAACCACAAAATTCAAAGAGGACTGGGATGCTTACAAATCTCACCTGAGAATGCAAAAAATCGTTAGACAAAAACAGAGATACATAGAGATCCTATTGCGAAGAAATCGAAGATATCCCGCAGACAGCGAGGCTTCAAAAAGCTCTCTCAAGAGATCCACACCGCAGTATTGGTGCGTTTATAAAAGAGGATGACATAAAAACTGCAAAGATCGAAGATAGCGTCAAACTTCTGTTGTTAACACACTTCCCTGACATCACAGACGTGGCCGACTAGGCAGAAAAAGAATACAGTCTACGATTGGCAAACTGCCAAACACATTGTAGACGATGACAAAATTAGATGGGCAATATCTAGCTTCTCTCCATTTAAATCTTTCCAGCCCTACTTCAGTGGAGTCTGGAATAACTTAAACTGCACCTGGTAGGTATAGTCAGATCCTCGCTGGCTCTGATGTATATCCCCAAAAATGGAGAGAGGTAAAGGTAGTCTTTATACCCAAACCTGGAAGGATGAATTACACTGTCCCAAACACATACTGACCCATACTATTGGTCCATTCTGGCCCGAACCCACTTTGTCTTTAATACTTCAATAATAAAACTCAACTTCAACAGGTTTTATTTGAAGTTCCTTCACAATGATAACAAATGAGATTTCTGGATTACTTTGAGGTAGCTGTATGAAAGAAAATAATCTAATTTTCTGCAAATTCCGCTCATGATTTAACCCTTGTACCTTCACAAGCTCCTTATAAAATTTGAGGTAGACAGTCAAGTCTTCACTAACAAAAATTTTCAACAAATCATGTATCAGTTCCTCTTTCAATGATCCGACAGGTTTCAAAGACAATAAAGGATCTAACAGAAAAGTATTTGAATCTGCCAAGGCTATTGCAATACAACGAATTGCATCTTCACGTGCTAGGGAAGACTTTTTATCGGTATAACTTTTGAGTAGTTCAATCATGACCAAAGCAGCTTGTTCATTGTTATTCCCCTTAACTAAAACTTAATGGTACAATCTACTATAAAGTTTTTGTAGCACACTAACATTTGTTTATGTAGATCTACTCACTTTAATATTCGCAAATTTGCATATTAACTAAGGAACACTCTGTATATGTATTCCGTCACAAAGGAAAGAGTAATTAACTTACCTGTATTTACGACGGGCATCGTCGCTGTTTTGCATACCAATGTCCTGCAATCTCTTTCCCATTGTCGAGACGGACTCATCGGCTGCCAGAATACCTTTTCCTGGTGCCACGATGGCGTTGGCGATTTTCCTGAGTTCATCCTGTAGAGCGGGATCGGGGTAGTTCCAGTTAGTAGTCATTTCTAAGGTTTGTGGAAGACTGCAAACATCAAATAAAAATAGTATCTTATTTTGTGATATTTTTGTGATTAGTAAAAATTATTAAAATTAAATTCTCTCCATTAGACCTCAAGTATCGTACTTTATTCGAATCAGCTCGTTAAGAATAATCTAAAAATATCGCCAAGTATTATATTTTAAAAAAATTGTCGATTAAGTCATTATATTAATTTGGATTACCGTGTATAATAAATTTTTTTTATACGATGCAGGAACTTGAAAATAGAAATCGATGTGTTTCAGGTTATATTTTTGAAAATGTTTTTGGTTTATAATAAATGTATTTTAGGTTTTGGGTCATGCAGGACTTTTTATCAAGAATAACTTTTTTTCCTAAAATCAATAATAAAAATGTTTTCCATATGGTTCCAACTTAAGTAGACACTGTATAATAGTATTGTGTATCGAGTTGAATAGGTACTAAAAATCAGTTTATTGCCCCTACTAGAAACAAAAATAATCTATATATAGTAAAGATTATTTCTAAATCGTTATATAAATATTCCACTGTAATCAAACATGTTGAAATATTTGTTATCGCGCCAAAGAGCTTTCGAGCCATATTAATAAATAATATATTTATATTTGTAGCGATAACATATGTGGTGGACTTTTATTTTTGATATGCAAGGAGGAGAAGCATTTAAATTGAAACGTTTTATCTACTGATAGGAAAAACCGATATTGAAATGTTGTTAGTAGGTACTTTTTGTGATTACACCTAAACCCGTTTCGTTGAATTGTTTTGTTGACATAACTAGATACCTAAGCGATTGCAAGTAAGCGAGTACATAAATACACATTGTGTATTGTACCTATGTTGATATAACATTAAAAATAATTAAGAGTGTATATGACTTATGAAACTATTTTTTCTGGCTCCCAATGTATTCGGAGTTATATATAGAAAACACGTACAATAATATAAAGGTCATTCAACTTGTAAGATACATACTCTACGCATCGTAAGAAAATGTAAACGATAGAAGAAAATTTCTAAAACGAGACGAAAAAAAACTTTGGAGATAATTGCTTTCTTTTTTCCACATAGTGAAGTGAATAAGGTACCTACAAATAAACTCTCACAAGTAAAAGTACTCTTTTATTTCTTGTTTTAATTCACCTAGCCATGGGCATTACAAAAAAAAAAACAAGAAAGCGAAATATATATGAAGTAGCGTAACCTGAACTCATATTTTGGACATAGCAGAAAAAATGACTGAAGACAACAACGTAAAAATAAGAGTAACAGAAGAGATGACTTACCTATCACAATATATTACTTGTTTATATTTAGATGATGCAATCCCAGTTTAATACTCAATCTAATTTAAAATCAGTATTACAGATATTACACTAAGCTGTGTTAGCTAACTCGTTATATATAAACCCTAGTAAAACCAATTACCTGACCTTCCATGTACAAAGCGAAAGTCAAACCTACCTTCGTATTATATAATAATAAATATTGTATTGAGTCTGTAATAATGAATATATTGAGCGAAATATATTTTATGACATAACTGGGCGATGTAATAAAATAAAATCATTTAATTCTGTGTTATCAAATTAGAGTACTAAGCGAGGTTCTTAGTTCTTATAGAAGAACTTCTAACCTTCTATATTGAACAAGTGCAAACGAAACTACTGCATGGAATAACAATTTGGGGGTGTTCTGCAACGTTTTTAGCTTAAAACCGTAAATCAAGGATTCTAGTAAAGAAGTAGTCCACAATACGTCTACCCCTGCTTTGCTTATTTACTACATATTTAAAACTTTGTGAGTGGCTTTATTTTACGAGGCTACCATACTTTCCTTCAGCGATTTTACGATGTTATTTAAAGCATTTGTACTCATTTTACTAAGGCTGTCAATTCCTGACGTAATAAACGTTTAACCGGTACGACTAATTATGACCGGTTTCGGTTTTGACCGGACTTTTACAATTAGTTTGGATTTAATTAGGACTATGGGCCATGTGGCCTCCCCCACCTCGACCTTTTCAGATCTATTGTGGATATCCTTTAATCATTGTTTAGAGTACCTTGTCTAATTCGGTCTTTTGTAGTAGACTCCATAGACTGGGAAGTAGTTCTCCGGTATAGCTAGTTGCCCTTGGTTTTTCTTCTCCAAGTGTAAGGAATCTCAGTCTTGCTAGATCTTCGCAGTAGTACAATACGTATTCTGCCGTTTCCTCATCTTCTTGACATAATCAGGCTTCCAAACAGTCCCACACAAGCTTCTTTTGCGCAGTGATTTATTGCTGCTATTTCTGCCTGGAATACTGTCGCATGTTTACCTAAGCTCAGTGAGAATCTTGTCTTTGGCTTGGTACTATATATACCTACTCCTGAACCTTCATGGGTTTTGGAGCCGTCTGTATACCAGGAGAAATCTGCACGAATAGGAGGTCCTCCCGTCCACGCTTCCCTGTCTGGTATAATTACTTTATATTGCTTTTGAACGCTATACTTTGGGAGTATTTCGTCTGAAGGCATTCCCATTATTTGGTCGTTCTCCAACTCTTTATATAGCTCGCTGTAGTCGCGTCCATACAAACTGCTTATGGGTGATGAACCTTTGTGCAGTCTGTATGTGACAGACCTGGTTTCGCCTTGAATAAATATATGTAGTGGTGTTAGGTTTAGCATGACTTCTATAGCTGCTGTTGGAGTCGTTCTCATAGCTCCCGTGATACTGTCATGCCTGCCTTTGGATACCATTGAGCTGTCGAATGACTCCAGCTTGCAGAGTCTGGCCACCATACCAGACCCATAGGTTATCATCGGCCTTATGACTCTGGTATGTAACCATAGGGACATTTTTGGTTGTAGTCCCCAATTTTTTCCACACAACCTTCGACATAAGTTGAAGGATGTTGTGCTCTTTTGGGTGACTTTTGCAAATGTTGATTCCATGTTAACCTGTGGTCAAAGATGACTCCCAAGTATTTGGCCTTTTGAGCAAATTGAATCTTCATTAATATTATTATAACCGATCCGATTATCCGGTCGACCAATCAGATTATCTAGTTAACCGGTCAGATTATCCGGTTAACCGGTCCGATCAAAACGAGACAGTCGAAACGGACCGGTTAGACCGGATTCGGCGGTTTAACCGTAACCGTGACCAGTTAAACCCGTCACTGGTTTAACTGTAACCATCACCGGCTTAATCGTGGCAAAACACATCCACCAAATCCTTTGTTTTCATTAGAAATGGGATCACTTTACTATTTCACCTTTCTTTACCCGTGACAACCAGGCAATGCATTCTTGATTTTTTTGATTTTTTTAAAATAAGCACTCACAAAATAAAAATTAAATTAGAATAATAGAAATACTACTAATTTTACTTTTTCTAAACTTTAATTAAAATTTAAAAAAGGGCACAGTCACTCACTTCTTACTGGGTGGGTGGGTGGGTGGATAAGTAGGTTAAACTAAAAAACAAAAACAAACTATATTCAAGTAAAAAACTGCCAATTTTTTTTATTATTGAGTTTTGATGCAAAAAATCAACTTATCAATGTTTTCCGGCAGCAAGCAGTTTCTCTTTGCCGAAACTATGTTTCCTGCACTGGAAAACACCAGTTCACTGGAAGTTGATGTGGCTGGTACACATAAATACAGTTATACGGTTATAAACCGGTTCCGGTTAAACCACTTACATTCTTTAACGGTTTTTTTGGTCCTACTGAATCGGTTAACCGGTCACGGTTACCAGCCTTACATTTTACAGTAGTAAAGCATTTATTCTCATACGAAATGTGAAATCTAACTACGCGCAGTAAGAAAATCGATACTTGTAGTAGTAGTAAATCTGGTTTTTCATTCATTATTTTACAGATTTAACTCGGATACTTGTTTATCGCGGTTCATCGCATTGGCGTACACAAATTTAAATATCAAAAACGTTGATATTTACAGTAAATTATTTGTAGATGTATATATAACGATTTACTTTAAAACTGTTGGATTAACTATAATAATTGCAAATGAATCGGTCATTTGAAAAACAGCACATGTCATTTGTAGATCATTTTTCAAAAAATAATAAAAACTGATAATCTCAAAACATTGTTAAAAAAATACTTTCGAACACTTCTTCTCTATTTCGGGTATAATACAATAACTATTTAAGCCAAAAAAATATTGGTAACAAATCATGGTTGATTAAAAATGCGCGACATGTGATGTTTCTGAAATGAACATAAAACTCAGTAAAAAGGGATATAGTTTTCTTAAATATGTATTCTACAATTTATCAAAGAAGGTTACAAAACAGAGAAACTATTTATTGTACTCATCGTTTTCATTTTCAGTTGTAGGCCAATTTAATATTTCGGAATAAAAGTTATGGGAACGTATGAAAAAAGTCGCTTGATATCTGCGAGTTTTTTAAAATTTATCGGAATTTTTCCAAGTGGAAAGGGTTAGGCAGCTCTAATAAGTTGGAGGTTGCAATTTAATTCACAATTTTCATACTCAGGTTTACGTTTACATTGAAAATAACTTACGCAGACGAAGATATGGGCTTAGTATGAATTTCTTACACATTGTTTATTATTTTGTATTGGGCATAGCCATGCTTTCACAGCCAACATGTGGCAACTACGATATCCCTGTTATCGCTACGCTTTCTCGGTTTGTAACTAACATTCGGTTCGGCTAATATCCCACCACCATATCTTGTAATTCTAGTCGACATCTGTCTGTTGTCATTGTATTATATATACTAGTCGTATGCCTAACACGAAAAAAATAGTACTGTATATACCGATGCTGTATATCGGGCAAGTGATGTTACTGCATGGATCGATGTATTTACCTGTAAATATTGTATTTTTGGTATAAAAACAAAATGGCCGAAAATGTGACATGTGGCGTTTCTCAAATAAGCTGGCGTACTAATCGGAAAAGGCCTTTTTAATGAGTTTTTTTTTAATGGTATTGTAGTTGTTCTTTTATATAGCAATA